ATGATACAATGATTAATGTTACATCAATGGTAATGATTTACAGAAGAGAAAGTTTTAATTGCATTAATTCTCCTTTAAAAGTGAAATTGGGTAGTTTTGAAGTTAAATATTCAAAATATAAAACATTTAGCAATTCTGTTCCTCCACTTTACTATCAATTCAAAATTATTAAAATCTGGAAGCCAGCAATCTGATATAGGCAACTCTTGGGACAGATTCCTTTAATGTATGATTCAAACCCAGGTATTTCAGTTTAATCAAAAGCTTGAAAAACAAGCTCTTATTTTTTAAAAACATGAATGTATGATCAAATTTGGGATCATTGTCTTGCTTTCTATGAAGCCTGACAATTGCCAGATGGGTTGAGTTTCTCAATACTTCGTCAAAAGGGGAAATAATACAGTGTGGAATATTGCTCTGCTGAGGCATTGGTTGAGTACAGAGCATTAAATTAAGGTAGACTTATGAACAGATTTTTTACAAATGGGATTTCTTTAGCTCAAAATTGTCAGTGTTTCAAAGGAACTAGGCAAGAGTTTAAAAATACTTTCAATTCTTTTGCTTAGCCCTAGGGCCTGCAATTGGACAAAATTCTCTGGCATGCTTGAAAGCAACGGACCAACAAAGAGGTACATTAAGCAATAAGTAATTACAGCTACAAAACACTCCTTAAGTTATATCCAAGGTTTCCAGCTTTTCAGCTGCAACAAAAATCTGTTACACTCTGATAATTATTAAGCACAATCTGCAACACGACAGCAAATTACATAATAGCCGAAGTATCTAATCTATAGTATCAAAGTTTCCTGAACCCAAGAGCCATCAAAATCCCTGGATAGGCTACTCAAGTTTGATGGGATGTTCTGGGAGATCTAGAAAAAACTTCAGGACCTCACTGGACAGGGCCAGAGGTAAAGGTAAAAATTTTGACAGTAGCTGCATCAGTGTAAAGCTTGATGAAGCTGACCTGAGGACAATTCTAATGCTACCTAGAATCATGGGGGAGCATCCAGATAGGTCCTAGAATGCAGTAATTATTACCAGGTTATCTTAAGAGTACTAATGAATCAATTGATTGAAGATTTTTGCAGGAATAATAAGGGCAAAATTCTTCCCCTCTTTACAGAGCAAGATTTCATAGGCCGTAAATAGAAGTACACCTAGGAAGCAGGTAACCCCAGAAAGCCAGTATGCATGATGTCTATCCATTTTGAGAATCAGTGTTATGGGGTAGCTCACCCTGAAACCCTCACCTCATTTGCACCCTTTTGGAGTGAGCTGCCAGGTAACTTATCTTCACATGGGACAGCCCTATTGCACTTGCTGTTTACATCCCCAGCCCTAAAGGAGGGGTGGGACAAGAAGCTGGTGGAGGGAATTACCCTCCTTGCATCCCTCCATAGTAACAAGACACTGGCTGCATTTCATTCTTGGGGAAACTACAGGAGGAAAAGATAGACCCAAAACCCTAATCAAAATCCCCCATAATATTATGACAAAGAAACTAAGATAAACTTGGAAACACAATCGTAGGCATGCTGAATCCTGAACAGGAATGAATCCTAATCCTTAACGAGAGTAGTGGTTTTACGCATGATAGTACAAAAACCATAAAATATAGAACGGCTGCTTCTGATTGAAGTCGGTAGTCAAATTTGGTTATATGAACATAATGGAATGTAAAATATTAGAAATATAGTTTCTAAATTCATGATCTGTTGTAGAATACAAAGACAGATGTGGTAGTTTAATTAAGAAATAACCAGGTCCCACATTTTCAACAACTGTCTCCAACTAATTGTCACCATTCTTATACTTTCCCTGCTTGGGACAGAGAAGCTCCTCTAATACCTGACAAACTGATTTAAATGAAAATTATAATGATTAATTCTAAATACTAAATCTTTGCTAACATAAATAAGTAATTTTAATTGATTATATGAACAACTGAGCTGGCAGATTTGATTGGAGAGTTACTGGGGGGTGGTTGATAAGCTGCTGTGCATGGTAAATTCTCGTCAGGTAACACAACTGCAGCCTGGAGGAGACATATACACAATGTGTCACAGCATCTCTCGCACATTATACAAGGAAGAAAACTTACTTTTGAGTTGCAATACAAAGCTTATGAACACACTTCTGTGGGGGTTTAGCTGCAATGTGTCTTTGAGGTAAGTCTTAATGAGTAACAGTGATTTTAAAAAAATACAGATCTTACGAATGTACATAGATGTCTGCTATTGTCTGCTGAACTATAAGCCATTTTAAACTAGATATATCACTCATAACTCTACAAAGTCAGACATTTAAAGCTTCCATGTATATAGAAAACCTTGTTAGGAATAAAGAATTCAAGAGAATTTGTGGTCAATAATACAACTCCATTTCCTAAAATAAATAGTCAATAATTAAAGGAACAGAAGGACACGCCCCTGCATGAGAAGGAAAGTCCCTTCATTCTGATCATCACCCTCCTCTGAGCAAGAGATAAGGAATATGTTTTTCTTGACATTCTCACAAGAAATAGTTTTACTCATGGTTTGAGCTACAAGATTTGCCCATTGGAATAAAAAAAGTGCTTTAAGAATATATACAACATTACTGGAAGCCATATGCACCTTTTCTCAGGCTAAGCAGCTAAGGCATTTACATGATGCTATAAAACTACTTTCTCATGTATTACTCATCTGGTCTGTACTTGCTTTGTATCACATTACCACAGCATTATACAAACATAATACTCTACAAGTGGAAGACATGAGAGGCAAAACATGAACTATGAAGAATTGCATCCAGTAGAAAAGCCCAAAATGACATGTGAGCATCTAACACAAAAAGGAATCAACTAAAAATGTATGCACAAAATACGTGCCCATCAATAGATTTACACAGCCAGCATCCCTACCCTTCCTTCAACAGGAGGGAACAAACTACAGAAAGATACTACTGAATTCAAACAACATGAAAAAGCTATTAAAACACATTATGCTCCCTCTTGGAAACCACATTATCTTTTTCCTAGTCTAATGAAGAATATTGTACTGTAATTAAATAAATTTTCTGAAAACATCTCACAAAACTATTAATATATTCATTCAAAACCAAAAGCTGTTTCAGAAAAGGAAACACAACTAAAAACTGCAAATGCCACTGAACTTGTTTCCATTATACAATACAACCATGACCAATATTCTTTAGAGGTTTGCTCTAGTAATTTATTACTTTATTAAGGTCTGATGCAAACCCTATTAAAGTCAGTAGAAAGACATGTTTTGAAAAGGCCTCGAATTACATACTTTTACTGTAAGACACAAATCTGGGAGCGCTGAGCCATAGCAACCTGCTTAGAATTTTTATATCAGGAAACACTAATAAACTAAATTACCGTACAAAGAGATAGCAGTCATCAATGTATCTGATTCTTCAGTGTTTGGACAGAGTAGTAACATTTTCTATTTTTCTGAATCATATTTTGAAGATGCTTTCTGGTACTTAACTGAAATAAATTTCTGTAGCTTGTACATGCTATTCTGTTTGCCTGTCTGGTTACATTTATGGCACTTGTGGCTTTTCTATAAGAGCATCTTGTAAACCCTGGAGGAAGCAATGGAAATAGTATCCCTAAACATCATAAGCTTTAAAAACCCATGTTTTTCTAATTATGGAACATTCAAATGTCTGTATACCACAAGGGAAACAGAAGGAGTGACTCCAGGAATGAGTATGCTATTCCTTGGACAAACAAAACATTGCGTTAGGCTGTATGATCAAAGGCCAATCACAGTGAACACACAGACTGAGCGAGGAGCAGAAGAAACCTAGTAACCTCATCAGCAAGAACTGGAGCACACTGAGAATCAGCTGCTCCTAAGATGATGAAGGAGAACGATTAGAGAAGTGTCCTTGTGTGAAACCCACTAAGATGAGTCAGGAAAAGCACCTCTCCCTTGCAAACCAAGGAATTATTGCCTAAAAGGGTTTAGGACTTACTGGATGTGAGGGGAAAGCATTTTGGGACATACAGCTTTTCTCTGTAAATAGTGGGCTGTGTGTCTTTTTGAAATGGTATCACACCTTCTGCCTCTCCTTTAGCATAAAGCTATTACAGTCTAGTAGCAAGGAATGCTCTGAGGCTTTGTAGAAGGAGCAATAGTAGCACAGATACAGTATACCACCCCCCACTCCCCTAGTTCTTATAAGATTCAGTCATCTGGCACAAGACATGGACTTAAAAAGACAAAGAAAAAACTGGTTCAAACAGATAGATTCCTGTTCTCCACTAGTAAAGCTGAAACTGTTTTCCTTGAAATACAATTGTTTAAAATTCGGCTACAACTAAATATTTAAAGGTCCTTTACAGTTTGATCCTGGACTTCAGCTTGATGTTTATGCAACAGTTTTCCTAGTACCTTCTATTGCCTTTTCCCCATAAGCTTATAGTGGTTCTGAGTGTGTCTTGAAACTTGAAAACAAAAAGGGTATGACATTTAAACACACATTTATATATGTACGTTTAGCTAGAAAACGTATCTACAACACCGTATTTAAACACTACACGCTATAGTTAAACAAAGTTAAGAATACATAGACTTTCCCCTACAGCAATACATAAATTAAAAAGTATCAATAAGAAAACAGATCTATTGACTTTTTTTTTTTGAATACTGGAATACAGGCAGAATTTGATGATCTCATCCAACTGAAAGAGACAAATATAATGTAATTCTAGTTGAAAATGAGAGAAAAAAATTAATCTGCTAAATTATATGTTCAAGATAACTGTAACAGTTTGGTTTGTTATTCTGAACTTCTGAAACTAATGCTTTTTTTTTTCAGTAAGCAACAGAAAATTTGTGAGCTAGCTGGAAGCTTATCTAAGATTTCCTGGCTACTATCCAAAGTAAACACAAACAAAAAATTCTGAAAGAGCGAGTTGTAAAGTGTAAAAAATGGTAAAAGCCCAAATCAGTTTCTTTACCTTCATACTTCCAATAGCATTTGCAATCTGTGAACAAAGTAGCAAAGCTTTCTCCTTCTTCAAAATGGCATGTGAGAATTGAGAGGCTTACCCAAAGGAGCTGAAACACTGAATTAGAAAAATTGCTTAAAAAACAAACACGAGAAAAATAACAGCTCAGCCCTTGCCTTGCTGACAGGTGAGATAATAACCATTTCTGGTACCACAGAGAACTTGCAGATAGACTGGCATTTCAATGGAAGGAAAAACCACACCAGTCCATGTGGTTCCCTTAAAACAAAAGCCTCTCGGGTTCATGACCAACATTTCAGTCAGCCTTTAAGTAAGAAAGAGCAACAACAAACCATACTGGGGATTTACTTAGAGATGTCATGAACAATGGTGACTGTTTTAGAAAAGACCATACAAAAATTCTTTCACTACTGTATATTATATGCAAAAATACTAACTTCAAACTTAAAACTAAGTCATCTTCTCAGAACCGAACCTCATGACCAGTGCACGGAGCCTTATCCAATTACCACTTAAGCACTGTGGAAACGCTTTCAGTTCAAGTAAAAAACTTGCACCCCCTCCTGGATTCCTGCTACTTACTATGGCAAATTGAAGGAGTTTTACTTGCAAAACACTTAACCACCAAAGGCAGAGTTCTGTAATACAGTTTTAAAGCACCTTACTCAGAGATTAGGTTACCAGTTTCCTAGCAAAAGCTCAGAACCTCTAAACATGAATGCAAATAATCCATTATTAAATGTATAGTTCTGGTTCAGTGGCCACTATTACAAATAGGGGAATTAACATTGACTTCAAAAGACTCTGAATCAGCCTTCAAGAGTATAATATTCTTCTTAATATTATGTATTTTCAAGATGGAAGTATTCAGACAAGTCTTTACAGAGAAATCATAAAAGTAGGAAGTGATTTACCCTGCTTGAAATGGCTGACATTTAATTTTTTCAGTTTAGATATTCAACCATTACCTACCACTTACTATAAAATGTAAATTGGTATGTATCAGAAAAACTCCAGCATGGTTTTGTGGTGTGGTTTTTTTTTTCTGTATAAACATAGACATTAGAGAGAGGCACATTCTTTGCTAGAAATCAGCATGAAATTCTTCTGTAGGAACTTGAACACTTCCTTTTACAGAAATTTCTCCATTAAACTATGCACTTCATATAAGGCGGTCATATCTAGTTAAGCAAAACACTTGGTTTGCATAAAATTAGAGCTGCACCTAGTTTAAGATGTATTTTCAAAATACATGTGTCATAAATGCCATTACAGAAAAATAAGCAAGATACTTCTTTTACAGCCTGGAGAAAGAAACTATTCGTTTTAACATTCTATTAAAATTTATAAGGGCACAAAAGGAATTTGTAACTGTTAGTCCAAAATGATCTACTTATTCTAACATTATGTACAGTGCAAAGAACTTCTTACAGTAACATCACAAAGTAACACCAGCTCTTTCAAAAGGACTCTAAAAATTGTTGCTCATTGCTTAGAATGGCATACATCCAACATATTCACAATTGGCAACAGAGTCTAGAGTATTACAATATTACTGCTGTTACTGTAATGAAAAGAAATGAGGTTGTGATGATAAATTTTCACATTAAGCTGTAGGGAACTCTACTTCATTTTACCAAGTATATTATTTCTTAGCTTTGTCATAAGCTCCAGGAAAATGAACAATGGAGAAAAGTTTTTCTCCTACAAAATGGTGGATAGTAAAATAAAGTATGAAATCAGCTGGCTTTGGGTTAGTTGGTTAAAAAAGCATGTATCAGTTCAACTTGAGTCAAGCTGCCTTGGTTTGTACTAGCTATCTGTAAAGGCTGACTGAATGAGACTCCTTTCATCATACAGGCATTGCTACCTTTGCTGCAATAGTAGAGGCACGCTTTGACAGCCAGGATAGCTTCAGCTGACAGACAGCTCCTGGGTAACTGAAAGGGAATGATAATCTGACAGGAAACATCTTTTATTTCTCCAGACAGACACTGTCCTTGAAGCAACCAGGTATTATCTGTAAAAGAAGAACAAGTTTTATCATTAGGATATTTAACACCATGTCTGAAACCTACAGAAAACACTAATTCTACCTATAGGACAACTTAGACTTTCATTCCATATGCAACATTAGGGGAGATTTCCTTCCTGATTTTTCCAGTCATGGACAAAAAAAAAAAAAAAAAAAAAGTAATTATGGCATTCCCAAACAGAAGTGTTGGTTTTACAAGTGGGTTGCTGCAGTTTAGCAATGTTCAGGCTGACTGTTACAACAGAACTTGAGTTTCACATTTATTTAAATATTTAAGAGTATGTGAACTGAACTGCACAATAAATGTACCCAGCTCATTGCACTGTACTCTGCATTTTACTGTGAGATGGATAAAGTGCTCTTTTTGGCATTTTTCAGAAAATAACTAAAAGTTGGCTCTAGAATTTATGAGCTTGAAATGACTTGTTGAGTTTAGGTTGCTTATGTTCTCCAAATTTACTAACCCTTGAAGCTATCACATATATCTTTACTTCAACAATATTTGGAGATTCTCTAGGCCAAAAAGTGTGCCGACTCTCCTGGAAATAGTCTATTTGTACTCCAAAAGCACAAACTGGGATGAGAAACTACTTTAAATCATGAGGCATATAAACAAATCGCAGTGCCTGTACAGTATTTGTTGACTGCTTTTAAAAGCAGAAATATGCACATATGAATGATAACAAAATAGGTTCAAAGTGGTTAGGTATAATTGTACCTCAAATACTTTTTGGAAGAGACAAAAGCAAAAAAAAAGGAATCTCTTTCAGGAATATCCTTCAGCTTCATGGTGAGCTTTCTCCCAGAGACAGACAGTAGGGTTGCGTGGCGGTGTGCTCCCCGCTCACCCCAACCTGACCTGGCCTGTATTTCCCATAATCCTGCTCAAGTGATAACCACCAGTGGCGCTTGTAATGATGCATCTGGTCATGATTGCTGATCTGGCTCAAAGTGGATTTGGGGGAGACAGATAACAATAGCCAAGGGCTAGTTCGAACAATGCGCCCACCTAACCACAGTGCTGGACAAATCTGGAAGAAGCTAACATCTGTAGTCAGTATGCAAATATGACTACGAGTCAATTATCTTACTCCATAAAGAGTGGACAGCCCAGGGCCTATTGAGCTCTCCTGCACGGCAGTGGGCTGCACGCCAGGATCTCCCCTCAAGTAGGCTGAGAGATTCCTTGCCGCAACAGATTCTGGATAAGTGATTAATAGCATGCTAAACTTTGAAATTTTAGCTAAGTGATATAAAGGATTGATTGCATGCATATAGTCCTTTAGACATAAACTGCTGACCAAGTCTGGGACTAGGAGTGGATCCAGCCGCACCTAAACTCCCCTCTGGGAAGGAGTTTAGAAAGCAAGGGGGTCCTTTCTGAACCTCATGACTCAATGGGAGGGTCTTCCTGACAGTTTTGTCTGACCCTGTCCTCTATGCTGTAAGTATCAAGTGAACCTTGCCATCAAATCATGTTAAACCACTGTGGTATTTACTATCAAACCTTGTTAAATCGCTCTTTTACATCAATAAACATATTGCTACTTTGCTCTTACAAGTTAAGTGCTTCACTCCATCCCTGACAGGCTGGGATAAGCTGATCATAGAGACAGTGGAGAGAGCAAGCATCTAACGGGGATCAGTACCTCTGCAAACCCTCACTGGCAGCTTGTTCCAAGAAAGTTAAAAAAAAACCCCACCAACCAAACAAAAAACCGGCAGCATGTATTAATTCAAGCAAAAAGCAGCCTATCAGGTGTTTTTTTTAAATCTTCACAGGCCAGCTCTTAAATGTATCAACTCTAAATAACATGTATTCCATCTCAAGGTCAAATGGGAACACAGGACTGGGAGGGACACACTGATTCATCAGACTGAGATCCCTTGTATTGCAGGCACATCATGATATAACCCTCTTTGTATCCTACCCACTCCTGTTCAACTGATAAAACAACACAGGCACTTTACCTTCTGCTGTGATAAACCAGGAATTGGGTGCTTCTTCATTCAGTTTTGAATCTGGAGGAAGAGTCAACTTTAATAAAAACTGAATTGTCTGGCCAGGAGCTACAGTTAGCGAAGGAAGTTGAAGAACTGGTGCAGATTTAGGCAGTTTTGGAAGGTTTGTTATTTTATCCTTTTGCACAGGCAGGTTATCTGGAACATCACATGCTTCTGGATTCAGGATAGGCAACTATCGGTAGAAATCAAACAATATATTTATTTTTATTTGTACCAAAAGCAAGTAGGCTTTCAAAATACAATCGCAGTTTCAAAGCTGACATGGACTAGGAAAACTAAACGCATGATAATATGGCTATTGGACTCAAACTTTCTGACAGAGTGCCACAATACTACAATGACAAAGAAAAAGGGAAGGACAAAATGATTTTTTTAAAATGAAAAAGATAAAACTGATTAATCCAAATAAAAATAATATTTACTATTAACACCATAAAATCTGCAACTAAAATGTTAACAGTTGCATTATATTTTTACTTTAAACAAAGTTTATAGGTATTTTCTTCTAATCTGGTAGTAAATTGCATGCTTCAGTAATAAAATCCAAGATTTTAACCATGCAGATTGCACACTAAAGTAAAGGATAATTTCCCAGAAAAGCCACCAACATGGTATATGATATGAAAATTTAAACACACATTAAGATTGTGTACTATTAAATGCAAGAAACATAGAAGACAGTTGGACCATTACGTCATATATATATATATGTGTGTGTGTGTGTGAAAACTTTAAGACATAGTGCCATAGTAAGACAGACAGGAGTACAAATTTATTTGCCTTCATGTTTATAAGCAAATACAACAGTGCTCAATTATGACAGTGGTTTTGATTCGACAACTTGGAAGCCCACTATGTATCCCGCTTTAAGTCACTGACCTCCCTAAATCATCTCTTACAGCTTAATTACAGGACTTGGTAATCGATTTTAACTTCCATTTGTTACATAGTGCTCATGAAATGCTTTTCATACTGAAAAAGTGGGCTCTATTTTTTAATAACTCATGTTTCTGCATTGTTCTTTTCTAGAGGATCATCGCTTTCTGTTTTCATGCAAAAGTTGCCCTTCCAAAGACTAAGGCTTTCAACAACTGTGCTAACAGGCAATGTTTATTTGCCAGATAATCACAAAACATTTTGTGAATATAGCTACTGTATCCAAAAAGTTTATAAGCTATATGATTTTTATACCACTTGCCAGAGTCTGTAATAGTAATTCATATCAAGAAACACCATTATCAGCCTGTTTAATAAGTATTACTTGCCATGGAAAGAATTTTTGTTTCCAAATCCAGAACTTTAATCTGATGATTATTTGTGTCTGCAACATACATCAAGCGGCCATTTTCTTCAACACACAAACCTCCTGGTTCATTAAAAGTTGACTGTGCAAAGCTGGAACCAATAACATCGCTTGCTTCTCCTGTGCCTGCCAGGGTAGCACAGTTCTTCATCTTGGGATCTACAACCTTAATCTAAGATAAACAAAGACACAAAAAAACTTTACTGAAAAAAACCCACCAGGATTTAGAAGTTCTGCATTACCTTATGCCCCATTTTCAGAAACCAGCACTATAACTTAGAGTACCTTAGCTACCAAGTGTGTGTCCTAGAAGCTAAGTTATCATACTTTACCAAATGACATGTCCCATCTTCCTCACCCCCCACTCCCTGCTGGACTTCACTTCTTTCTTTGGTCTTTATTCAGTGCTCCCTTTCATAATTTTGAAGGCACCTACCCCTCTGGTATAAAAGTATGCTGAATGGCTTGTTTTTCTAATGTTTGTTGCCCTTCTGGAAACATTTGCAAGATAGTAAGACCATAACAAAACTGGCAGGCTAACTTCTGTATAATTTTTTTCCTAAAAATAGATGAAGTTTTTTTTTTCTTTAAGTAATAGCAAAAAAGTTTATAATGTTTTATACAATACCTGAAGCAAAATTTCATTTGCCACATAATTTTCAATAAGCATTTAGTGTTATATACTTTATTCTTCAAATTAAAACAAATTATTTTTCTTTTAATGCATTTAATCAATGTACAGTTAACAACCTTCTAGACATGGAAGCCTATACAACATCACGTAAGAACAATCACACAAAACAATCTCTCATCTCAGACCTCCACGGAGGCAACCCACAATACTTCTTCTCAAAACTTGGGTGGCTTTTTTAAGGGAAAAGCAAGTCCTCTAGTTCTCCCAGTTTTGTCAAACCTGCAGTATTCCTGACTAAGCACTCCCAGCTCTTTTGCTGTAGTTCAGCATCTTTGGGAAGATACAAGGAAAGGGTCTTTAGACTGAACTGTAACTTGGCACTTCAAATTCACCTTCCCTAAAGGACCATCATATCAATACGGCAGCATGTGACAGCAAAACAATAGTAAAGAGAAGGACCCATAAGGGAATGAAGAAAAGAAAAAGAACCCACAAAGGAACTCATATCATTTGTTTCCTCAGCTTAACCGCACCAAGCACAATCTTTGTATGTTCCTGAAGTAATCCTTCGTAGCAGTAAAAATTGCAAAGCCTGTATATATCAAGCTACTATATGCTTACCTTATGATTATAGGAATCTGCCACATAGAGCAGTTTTCTCTTCTTGTCCCACGTTACTCCTAAGGGATGCTGCAGCTTTGCATTTATGCCCGCTCCATCCACATCACCAAAGGCAAACAAATTCTGAAAAAGTATTTTATTAAATTAATACATTTGATTATTCAACGTTGACATGAATTTAAATGATTGTAATTAAATGGAAATTCACTGACTTAAAAAAAAAAATCAAGACAACTTCAAAACAAGGATACTGAAAACTGGGAAGTGAGGATGCTAACAATGGAAATGGAAACTCTCACATTTAAGTTCTCAGTACGAATCTAGCTGGCTTTAATGACCACACAATGCTGAATCAAGTTGGCTATTTTAAAAATAAGTGAAGTAATTTGTTATCTGAGGAGCAACAATCTGCACTACAACCTCAGTGTCACAACTGGCACACATTTGCATTCCAAGCAGTGAAGTTAAGAAATTGATGGCCATGGAAACTGATTTACCCTCTCACCCCAAAAGTGGTTCCTCCAGGTCAGGCTTGAGGAATATTAGTAGGGCAGTGTGGGGAAGTTTGAAGTGATTACCAATGGATCTCTCTCTCCTCCTACAAGGTGCTTCACTGCTCCGTCTTTCAGAGAGATGGTTCGCACAGTGCTGCTCTCGCTATCTGCTACAAAAAGGCAGTTCCATGGTTCCTCAGAAGCCAGAGAGATACCTGAAGGCTGTGCAAAGCCAGCCTTATGTGGGTATGCGTTGTTTCTGTTCTCTTCATTTCCGCTCCCAGCGAATCGAAGGCAGACTCCTTTCTTTAAATCACTAAAGGCAAATAGTACCCGAGTTCAAGAATGAGTCTGAAATACTTCAGACACTATGCATAAACAGAAACTACAGGACAAGCACTTCTGAGTTATAAAACCAACTGTACCACAGCACAAGGAATTATTCAATGCCTTTGTGCTAACTTTTATTTCACCTTAGTATGTCATTCATCGCTAGACAATTCAGCAAATGCAATGAAAAGTAACATACAATTATATGAATGTACCTTACCAAGTCATAGTTTTATAGCATAAGTAGCATCTTTCATTTCTCTAACAGATGTGGGAAAAAGCAGGCAGACTTTAAAGGACACACGCCTTTTAAGTCTGAACAGAAGCAGCAAGCTTCAAGCTAAGGACAGTCAAGAAAAATTATTTTTAGTTTAATTTGATTATCTCTCTCTTTGGGATTTGAAAGCTGTTTATCAAGACAAACAGCAATTTCACATGTCTCTTATTACAGTTGCTTACCTTCCCTTTGGTAGTTTTCCACCTTCCAACATCAGTGCCCACACCTGATGAGTGCCTGCCATTGCTATCCATAAAACATCACCTTCCTGGGTCCCTGAAACTTTTAAAAATGTATGTATAAAAACAGATGAAAAAAAACCACTTTGGGAATGTTTTATAAAACAAAGAAATCAACAAACCAACCCTGCTGTCCCCCCTAGTCCAGCTCACTTGCCATGGGGAATTAAAAAAAAACCCAATGAAAAAACAGAGCAAGAGAAGGACAGAAAGAATGTCTTAATCTACCAAAAACCTCTGCTATTTTTCTTCTGTTCTCTTCCTAAGGATATAAAAATTGTGCTTTTAATATCCCTGCCTGATAAAGGCAATGCTTCAAATGGGATTTGCTCTTTGCAACATCTTCCTATTGGGTCCATGTTTCACCTGTTATTTTTGGATTCATACTGGCCAACAAATATGTACATATCTTTGCTAAGTATGGTTTTGGGAGGTGCGGGGGATGTGTTTGGTTTCGTGTTTTTTTTTTTTTTTAAACTATGCTAATGACAAAATTAGATATTCCAAAAAACTACTGGCAGTTGCTTACAGGTTTTGAGAGAAATAACCATGGCAGTACCATTGTACAATATATACAGAGTACATAATGGTTTTAAGAAAAGGGTAACTGATGCTTGCGTGTCATGTAGGTTTATGCTCTGGAGAGCAACAACTGCTGTTTATTCAAACATTAGATGTGATGTGGGCAATTGCTAATTTCCCCCTGCACTAGCCATCCAGTTTCCAAGCTGTTCTCCCTATGCACATGTACATGTGGTATCACAAATGCAAGATGCAGATCTGCGGAACAGTGACCTGATCAAGAGGTGTTCAGGTATGTGTCAAGCATCTAGTTTTTTCAACTCAAAGTATAAAACTACTATTCACCAATCCAAATCTATAAATTACACAAAGTTTGCCTCGGTAATACTTCACAAATAAAATTATCCAAATGGAAAGCAAAGAACATATAAGTGCTCTATAGCTTTAAACATAACACATTACAGCATAAGAAGGAATGCATGAAGACAGGTTCTGAATGACCATTAAAAAACCCCACAAAACCAACAACCCAAACCCAAAAGAAATTTACTTATCTTGGCCTTTTCTGAAAATCTTAAGGAACAGAAAGTTGACATTTAAAAACTGCATTAAAATGGGGATGCTGTTATCTAACACCATACTAGTCTATGCACACTGTATACAACTGTCCCATCTAGTCAGAGACAACAGTAAAATGTTTTTCTAAATGAATGTATCAGGTATTGGAATAACTATTAGCCAGTCAACAGAAAAATACTTTCAAATTGCTCACTGAAACTTTTTATTCACATGAACTTATAAAACATTATGTATCTTATAACTGTTCCTGCAAACAACCTAATGGATACCTCTCCCCCTCATATTTTGGAGTTTCAAAATAAAAGCAATTATATGCAAAATGCTTGCAAGCATTTTAAACCTGCGAATTTAGTCCAAATCAGTCTTCCTAAAATGAAATTACCACCATCCCCCCAACTGAGATCCTGCTGTTTTAATTCTAATCCTAAACCTTTCCTACATTACACCTGCAAGAGGGGGAAAAAAAGCATCCTTCTGTCTCCAAAATCAATTTCCTCATACTGTGAGCCCTCTTCAGAGTAGTACTGGTATGATTTTAACACAGTTTATCTTCAGCCTTTTCTGTTTCTTGGATCAAGATACAAGTTTCCAAGACTGTGATCAAAGGAACTCTTCTGACTCTCTCCTGCACGTCCACACGGCTCCATGTTTTTACACAAGCTAGAGCTCCGAGAATAAAAGTCAAACTTCCAAAGCACCTATAAGTTTTTTGTTGAGCAGAAAGGTTTACAAAATGAGTTGGAAAACGCACATTTTATGAGTCACCAGAGATGTTACCAAAGTACTCCCCCCCTATGAAATCACCTTTGATTAGAGCTTGTTTCTAAGAGAATTAAATTCAGAAAATGGCCTATGAAATCATTTTACTACTTTGTACATAGTACATGTTCAACTTCAGGATTTTATATTTCCATGATGCATACCTTGCACTTTTCAGATGCCTCTATCCTGAGTACCCCAGAATGAATAATGCTAAAATCACTGGTCAATTCAGAAGGCGAGCTTTTTATCTTGCTATGCAGTGCAGTTCATTTTGAGGGATCTCAAAAAGTGCTTTGTTAATTATTTAATATTCACTTCATCCGCCAATGAAATGAAGGAGTAAGACTTGAACTGAGCACTTCAGAAAAACTTGTTCCATTCATCTATCCAATTCTCTAATTCCATCCACTGAAAACTCCCTTGTGACAGCTATACGTTGAAAAATTGAAAAGGTTTCTTACTCTAATTCTGCAGACCAAAAGTCTTATCAAATGTGAGACACGGGAAAAAAGTATCAATATTAATTTCAAATTTTACTGAATATTTAAGATCAAGAGACAGAAGATCCTTTCTTCAACTAGAGAACAAGACAGGAAAAATAAGCAAGAGCTCCATAACCATCATAAATTTTAATGCAACTTAAATATTTTCTACTGGATGGCAATTAGAACAAAGAGAATGGATGCAAGCATGGAAACAGCACAAGCATACTGAATTGTGGAAAATACGTCAGAACTTTAACAAAAAAATTTATACAAAACCAGAAAAGTAAAAACAATGCCTATAGTTGCACAGCTAAGATATTTTATCACATAATGGTCCTGACACTACAGAGTTTAATGCTTTATGTTCTGAAACAAAAGACAGGAAAACCTCTTCTTTCAGGATAGAACAGTTTGAGGACATGTCACCATTGTCATCCTTGTACTGTTCTTGCAGGAGAACCAGCATGCTAAAATTATGGTAATGCCATCGTTATCATAACTCCTTATCATCCTTGAATGGAAAGAATTTATTTTGAAAGAATTTATTATAAAACAACGTAAAAGAACAAAGCAATTCTTTTACATTTATTCAATTAAGCACCACATTCCAACCTATCTTGAGCTGTTTTAAAAATCCAGTGTAGTTTCTCCTTATTAGGGTATGTGCTTTCTTATCTTTAGTGCTGCCTGTATCAAAGCAAAGTATGGCTTGCAAATGTTATATACTTATGTTATAAAGATTCACTAATAATGAAGTAGAGCTCCGAATGCACTGGTGTTCCATATTATATGATGCTTCAATTGTTACATGATGATGCAGTTCCTGAATCTGCCTCTGCTATGTATCTGTGTTTTAAGAATTCACAGTCCTGTTTGTACACATACACAACTTTAAACAGTTCAGTAATACTGCTGACCATTAACTGTGAATCAATCTGAAAGCACAGAAAAGACTTTATTTTGTAACAGTCAACAGCAATATCTGTTTGAAGAGATTCCATTCCCAGGACTACCCGCACTTCCAGCTTCCCTGTCTGGGGACTGCATGCTTGCTTCCAGTCTGGGAATTAAAAGCCTGGGAATCAAAGTTACATTTTGTGGCTGGCACCACTGACATTTTCTAAATAGATTGAAGTTTGAAAATATTATTCTTGTCTACTAATTTTATCTTTATAAAAAGTAACAAGGAAGAAGTCTGTTGGTACACTCATCCTCTGCAAAAACACAAGAGGCAAAAAGGGCTATACGACATGCCCTCCAACAGCATAACCCTTTATGAAACAAAATGCTTCTGGAATTTTCCTCGTTAGTTAACATACCTGCCCTCTCATCAAGGGAAATCCTTGGACATAGATACCAAGGGGATATCATACAGTGGGAGATAACAGGGAGCTGAAAATGATGACTATAATTAAATATTTTTTCTTTCTTTCCCAAGTTTTCTAACTCAGGCCTTCTGACTGTAATGGCAGTACACACTTCAAAAAAATCCAAAGTAGATGTGATAGCATTTGTTAACATGAAAGAACTAATTTAGATTATTTAGTGTTGGGATACATCACTATAACTAGAAAGCTAAGTCTGGTTATGCGTTTTATTCACTCCTATTTAAGCATAGCAAATGCATACACTTGAGGGTACTTCAGCAACGCAGTCTCCCCTGACCCCCAACACCCACATTCCATGTTTGAAAGCACTTTCAGCATCAAATGAGAACAGTTAAAAACTGTGTCTCATTATGACCCCAGCATGCCTGACAAAGCCTCTGTAAGACTTGTTAAGGATGTTTATTTTCAGCGGCTCTGCATCTGGAATTTTGCATTAAAAACAGTATCTGATACATGAACTAGTGTTTAGAAATCTGATTTGTAGTTTTAACTTCTTTGTCATGAGCATACATTTAATTCACAGAACAAGACTACAGACTGTGGAACAAAGAGAATGAGAAATCATCATTCCAGGTACAAATATTGTAGTTTTTATAGAGGGCAGTTTCAAGTCATGGACTTCAAAATGTTACAAAGTTTGACATCTGTTAAGACGGCAACTCTTCTAATCCAAATGCATCTTTTTACTGCAGAAAGTAATCATCAACCATTTTGTCAAGATGTAGAGAAGTCCAACTTACTAGAAATGTAGTCTGTTAAACTAAACTGCGTGGGATGACTGTTGGATCTCAACAAGTGACTGAGTCACAACTCCCATTACATCCTTATGTTAAGACTTTAGTCTTTGTAAGTTTCTGTCAGAGCCACGTTTATACTAAAATACTAACATAAATTTCTAATTTCTTGATCTGTTTCTATAGTGAACATGTGAAACATTAATAACTTCTGTTGCTATTACTATTCAGCAATACCATAAACTCCCTAATCTCTTAGTTTTGACTTGGAATACAGAATCAGAGCATTCAGTCAACAGTTCAGCCAGGTTTCTGTAGAGATAAAGTCTGTTGGGCTGATAGCACAAAAAGCTACTAGTTCTGAAAGTTTATCCCTCCTCAGTTTTCTCTCAAAAGCTTAAAGGAAAAAAAACAACATAAATGCCAGTTTAGGACCAGGAATGAAAGCTGCTTAGGGGTGACAGAACCTGTACTTGTATTATACGACGACATGTGAAAACTTCAGTTAATTCTATTTGTCCCTCTGATTCTGCCAACAGTATGAAGCTGGCTAACCCACTCAAACAATACACAGAAGAAAACAGTGCGCTTCAGAAGTCCTCCCAAAGCGAGACTGGGTAACGTCCTGCTTCACTGCAGTCCTTCACTGTAACTTCTTAATATCATATTTCTCAAAAGACTTTTTCTCCTTAAATAATTCTTACACAAGGAGTAAAACCCTATGATAAGTCTTCCGCTTTACTTCAGCCTTATCTTTAATTAAGAAGTTACCTTTTCTTTGAAATTCCCAATATTTTAAATAAAAAATAATTACCATTTACAAGTAAATTTAGGATCTAGTTCAAGGAGAGAAGACAGACAATGCTGTTCCGTGTCAATGACGTCTCTAACATGATTTTCTGTAGAACTGAACTTGTTCGAGGGCAGATGCAGCCCAAAGCTGAATGGGGTATCTTTGAGTTTGTACATTGCACAGGAAACTGCTAAAGAGATGAGAAGGCCTTTTGCACATCACATCATTGCTACATCAGGCATATTACATATGCAACATATGTTTAGAGTAATTCAAATTTTGAGTTGTCCAGAAAAATGATTCCTAATTAATCACTGATGATCACAAAAGCAGCTCTTCCATTTCCGGCTATTACCAAGGAAAATGCCTTTCACAGGACAGTGAAGGCTAGAGCCTCAATGCCAGAATGAGACCAGACTAGAAGGAAAAAGAAGAGTGACATGTAGAAAGGATACTTTCAAGATACAGACAGTTCAGACATAAACAGTTCATACATAGTCTCAGCTCACCCAGGAAATGCTTATTGCTGAGTTATTGGGAGTTTCTATAAATAGGTTATTATTAAATAAAGACCAGATTTTGGAATGTGAAACACACAGTTATGTCACCAAGCACAGGTCATTGTCCTCCTCCTTCCAGCAAGAATGCAGCTATCAAGAACATTTCACGCTTAGATCAACTGTGCATTTAAGTATCACTTGCTTTCAACACCCACTGAATAAAAATAGAAGGGGACAACAGAGAAAGCTAAAAAAGCACACAGTAATTTAATAACGTATTTTTAAGCTGCTGGCCCTCCCCCTGTATTTCCTGCATGATCTATGTCAATGCAAATTTCAGCACCAACTTCAATGAGGCCAGAATTTAATCCATGGAGTTCATTCAAGAATTTTAAACAGGGAAGGTAAAAGACAAGTTCAGTGGTTACAACTAAAGAAATAAAAAAGATGACAAGGAAGAATACTGTCTGCCTGAATCCTAGCAAGTGTTTTGTCTCCATTAACTCCCCTACCTTAAAGAGAGGTAACCTTTCCCTTTGAGACTTTGAAAAAGGTCAGCATAAGCTGTTCAATAGTATTTAGTGTAGTACATAAACAGCTTAAACATTTAAACTTCTTTTTTTCTCCCTTTCATGTTCTGGATAGCATGGCTTTGGGCATTGAAAGGAAGCTCACAGAAGCATCACTTGTTTAACAACTATAAAATCCACAAATCTACCTTCTGAAAAGAAAAAATGCCTCTTGTACACAGTTTATGCTACATAGATCTAAGGAAAGTGGGAAAGTATGATGTTATTTCCCATATGCCACACCAGTTAACACATAAGTCAAACTTATGAATTTTGTAATAATGAACATAAGTTGTTAAAGTGTACATTATCTCCTGCAACTTGCACAAGATACATATAAGCATATGTAAAAAATAGGCACTGGATCTGAACAAAAGTAATATTTAAAACTCTCATCAATTACTTCATCCACCCAAATGCATAAACAGGCATTGGCGCACCAGTTTTAATATACTGACAACAGGGTATCTACCTGTAGGACAGCATACTGAGAATTACCAACATAAGGCTGGGTCTCCGCCCAGGACAGTGAAGATTTCCTTCAAAACTACTTTGCGTGCATTTATTGAAAAACAAATGCATCCCATGGATAGTAACAGAAGATCCTACTAGGCTCAGGCAATTTGCAGTAACCATACAACTTTGACAAACTCTGCTGCAGCGTTGACAAACTATTTTGATGGCTGGCAACAAACTTGAAGTCACTGCAGCTCCTAACAGTATCTACACTGTAAGACATATGCACTGCAGACTACAAGACACCAGTCCTGGTTCCTCATGTTCCATGACAGACTCTTGTCAGCATTCTACTCAACAGAACCCTCCATTTTGACAACTGTCTCTGGTTATAGTTTTCTAAAGAGTTTTATATAGCTATTACAGTAATTTACAATTTTCCTAGCTTACTTTATTCACACAAAACCATATAAAAAAAAAATCTTAAAAAGAAACTGAAAGCACACCCTCCCCCCCATGTTATCTATTTGGCCTATTACCCTCTCAAAGAAAGAATTTAAATTGATTTAACCCCTTCTTAAGTGACAGGTTATATTATATTTTGTAGAGATCTAAATAGACAACTGACTGATAGGTTCTAATTGAGTATGAAAGAATCTATACTGGTCTGAACAGAGTGCATTCAGAAGATCTGATTTTTATGTAAATGCTTATAAAAATTCAGCAGTCAGTGCTAAACAGTGCAGATGAGGAACCCTTTACAGGTGACTAATTCAGTGATTACTATGTTCATATTGATAACAATCATATCAATTAACATTTAACAAACAGAGCTTTCAAAAAGAAAACGTATCAACAGATACTCAACTACTGGCAGAAGCAGAAGGAAGCATCATGAAAAATGAAAAGTAAAACTATACGGTATTTTGAATAGTTCTGTTAACCAGCTTAAGTTTCTAAAGCAGTGATGAGTTATTAGTCTCCTCCTTTGCTGATCTGCAAAACAGCTCTGCAATAACATCCCACGGAGTTCAGCTTGCTGGTTCAAGGTACCCTGAAAACTATACCATCTAGTCACACAACAGTCTACTGAATCACAAAAGGAAAATCAGACTGGATAAAATTCAGCAAAGCTCATGCCTTCATTAATAGCAGCCCACATCCGGTGAGATGCTCTTTCAGCTACTCCTCTTTTCTCTTGCAAGTAGGATTCCATATGCTTAACACCAATTGTAAGGGTCATTGACAAAGCCTTTGAAAAAAGTGAGGTTTTTTTGGTAGAAGACACTAGTAAAAACGTTAAATCTAAAAATTGATGCTGGTTGCTTATTTAAGTAGTCAAGGCTGCTGGTAGTACACTGCCTATACTGACAATGTATTTGTTCCAGAAGACTTCTATACAACCAGCATTTATGAACTAGCTTCACATTCCCTTAAACTTAATTTGAGTGTGTTTTCCTCCCTTGTAACTGACCCAAGATTATAACAAATGCTTCCAGGTCAGTAAAATGTTGTAATTTACTAATCTTGCAAAGCGCCTCTAATTTAAAGATATTAGACTTAAATCATGCTACTTCCCCACCCCATTCATCTGCAAATCCAAGAAATCCCAATATCGGAAGTCAATTTTTATGCCTGAAATACTGACCTAAGGGTTTTATGCCACATGAAAGCATTGTTCTGTCATTGTTAAGAAACTGGCATCTGCAACTTCTAAATTATATCGAAATGGAAACACGAGAAAATAGAGTATCAACTCACAGTTAGTAACGGTTGAAAACACAGTTATGCGACGTCAAGCTCAGGTGTGTGTTAGGAGAACCAGGAAAGAAAGCTACTTAAATCCTCAGAAGCTGATTCTTGCATCCTATTATGCAAAGATTTGATTTTTACCCCTTGATACTTGCAAGGTTTTTTCTGTGATATTCCTCTCCTATCTGATTGACTCTATCATGAGCTTGAGTCTAATGATTCTATGTCACCTAAACAGGAATAAACAGACGCCCCCAACTAAAATTATTTTTATTTTGTAAACTCAAATATTTACAAGTAGTCAGACATGTCTGTATAGTCAGGGAAAGGAACTTCTAGACAATGCTCACTTCCTGTAAAATGTAGCTGCTTCTTAAGTGATCCTGGCATAAGCACTGGCCTAACAAAGGCAGTCACAACTTCCTTCTGTATTTGGACCCAGTAACTGTATAACTTGGTGCAAAAGAATTTTTCTTCCATCAAGTAACAGTTCACATTTTTCAGGGTCCAAAGCAGAACTGCAGTTATCACTTGCAAATGAAACCACTGATTTTTAGACTCAGTTGTAAAGTAAATCTTTAACTTTTAATATCTCAGATTATTACCAAAACAGGAAAACATCTAGCAAACAGTAATGCATGCGTAAACACGGTATGTTAAAAGCTCGACTGATACAATACTTGAATTTCCGAAGACCACATCCCACGGAGAGCTGATAGGCTGTTCTTCTCCTTTTGCTCCACCTTCCTTATCAACACCTTGTATCCCAATGCCTGCTACAGTGGTCACCATCTCTAATTCCAGGTCAATCTACAAGAACCAAAATTACACACGCTGAATGTACAAAATTAACTTGACTGAAGTTACAGATAATTTGAGCTAGATGTCAAAACCAGAGAGTTTTTGCTGACAAATAAAAAATAAATCCTAACAATTTTCAGCTATTTGTTTATTTAGGAAAATAATTAATTTTACCACAATGCTTGCTGATGGGGGAGTAGGTGGGGGGGAGAGGGAAGCAGCAGGCAGCAGGAAAACCACATGCCTGGAATTCTCTTCCACACGTAACAAAAATTGACACTGCTCTGTCAAGGTTTGCTCAGCAGTTGTAGAAGAAAGCATCAAAATTTTCTAGAGAAATACTCAGACAATGGATGTGGATATTTTATTTTAAACTTCTACGGGAATATGACATAAAAATTCAGATACTGTAACAGTATCTCCTAGCTCTATATAAAATAATCTGTACAAAGCAAATAATTTTTGCAGTTTATTTCATGCCCTAGAGCAAAAAAATGTTTATTTCATTTATGCAATGTAAATCCCTTTATTTTTCCTTCCCCTTCTGCTTATTTTCTAAGTGACTTCCAATACCTCTCAGGAATTTATCATGATGATCATGTAAAAAGGGAGTCTTTCACGCACAGAATCTTCTAACTTTTGTAGCAGTAAACGCACTCTTTGCAAGGCCCGTGGCCTGCACAAACATCTTAAAACATATCCTGTAGCTGTTGTACTACTTTAATTCTTGGATACCCTCATGGCACATTTAGATGAAAGGGAACAGCTAACTATCATGAAAAATGCTGAAGCAGTATGATCCTGATCTTCAGGAGTTTCTGAGCTGTCTTTGCTACCTGCAACTTTATTTCCTGCAGTCACCATGCTACAGTGATGAGTATTAGTAAGATGAGGATCCTGGAGCAAACTACTCATTTTTAGTAACAATATTTCTTTACCAACAGGGAGCCTTAGTCCTTTCCAGAATAAAACCTGGCAGACAACTGCAATGAATCCAGTGCAGGGATTTTGTAGACTAGTGCTTTGAATGAACCTAATTAACAGTATAAAGGCACCCCAAATTGAGTAAGGATGTACCTCCTCTGATCACAAATCAGTCATATTGGTGAGGATCCAAGTACAAGATCTTCTGAGATGCACAGAATACTTTTAATAATAAGCTAATATTATATTGCTTCAACAATCTTAACTTCTGATTATTCTAAATTTGACCTAACCAAATGTAAGATCCAATGACAACATATAGAAAGAGTAACACTCCTATGTGCTAAAACCTTGCAAGCATTTAATCAAAAAAAAAAAAATCCACATGCAGAAAATTCTGATATTAAAGCAGTTACCTGTACTTTAGAGACCTAAACAGCTAACAGAAATTTAGATATTCACTGAACCATAGTAGTACAATAACTTTAGATAAGAATCTGATACTACCGGAAGTGAAACAAAAACAATTTTTGCTTCCAGTACTAAGAATAGATGTTTCTCATAACAGGAAAGTAAGAGTCACTAAAGAAAAAAAAAAAAAAAATCAGTTATGCTACAACGAGTAGTGCATATCATCTTCATTTGAAAGGAAGCACAGAAGTCTATGTAGCCCTTTAGAAAACAAACTACACAACAGCATTTATTTATAAGATATTGGGCCAAATTTCCTTCCTAATGGTGAAGGTATTTGGAGAGCAATTAATTTGGTGTAAATTTTGACCTGTATAAGCAGAATAAGGTATAAGAGATTAAATTTTGAATTTCCTTATGGGAAATTTACCTTTCTAATTAGGTGATTTTCTGTATCAGCTACATAAATAACATTATTTTTTATAGCGATCCCTTGTGGTGAGTTGAAAGCTGCCTCTGAAAATCTGCCATCTCTCCTTCCACTGCTTGGACCTATAAATGAAACAAAGCAAACTCAAAAGTAATTTTAGAAAAAAAAACCAAACCAAACCACAAACACTTAAAGTGCATACATTTAAACCTGTAAGAAAATGACATATTCTAAGAGATGCTTTCACAGCACCTTGTAAAGTTTACATTATTAATATTGTGTAGTCTCATTTTAGTCACTGTGCTATGTGATTACAATAGCCTGGTGCTATTAAGTTTTGACCTCATTCTCCACAAGTTCTCTGCTTCTTTAAGCTCATCTCCCAAATAGAAGTCCTAATAGGGGTCTAAATTGTTCCTGTTTCCTTGCCCTAAAGGACAACAGCAACAATGGAAGACAGAAATAAAAAACTACATCTTTTTTTCTTCCTAACTACATCAAAGCAAGCCAGCAGGAAAAACTTTTCATTTCCAGAACTCAACTCCATTTTAATGGTTTAGATTTTGCTGTAATCACAAATGAAACTAATATTTGATTAGCAGCATTTTCTCATTAATAATAATTAGGAAAAAGATAACATGGAACTAATTACACAAAAGAACAGTGAGAATGATGGAGTGTCAGTCTTCTGCGCAGAACAATCAAGAAATAGAAAGGAACATGTCCTGAACATAACAGTATGAAGGTAAGCATCGTATTTCAGAGGGAGTAACATTTAAAGTGCATTAGCAGTATGTGTCAGCAGAAGACATTTAGATATGAGTTATGTGTGCATCATGATTTATGATGCAAATATAGTAATTTCAACCTCTGTGCATGCCCACATTTATTACTGTATTATCAACTTCATTACATTCTTTTCTGCCCACTGACTCATTTACCTGAGTCACCGAAATACACAAACTTTTACAACCTACTGTCAGAAGACAATTTAGACCTTAACAGACACCAATGACTGAGGTGCTGGTGTGTCAAGATTCCAGTAGTTCCCCTTATAACTGTCAGGGTGCACATCCCCATGGAAGGGATTAGCAGAGTGCCAGAGGAAGGAGGGGTACCAGTTCAGAGGTTAGGACACCTCCTTCTGAATTACTGTTTACTAACTATCCCAGAACACTAAAGGGTAGCTTGTCTGCAGAGACTTCATCACACATATCAAACAGAAACCAAATTATCTTATTTTTGTCATAAGAAATCTTGTCTGTACTTCCCATAGGAGATGGGTATTAAGACTAATGCCTTTATCAGGTTAACTTGGATAATTAGTCTGTCTATCCAATGCACCGTTACTTCAAATAGCAAGAGATTTTCTTCCTTTCTTTAAATAGCAGTGCCACTAGTATTTTTATGAGCTTTGTAGGATCCTGCCATGGCAGAGGTGTTAGTCAATACCAGACTAATTAATATACGACACATCAGCATACAAGTTGTGATTCTGAGACATAAATGAGCCGTTGTTCTAAATGATTTGGGGATTTAACCACTTCTTAAATCTGTCTATTATGGTTGGTCACAGATGGACTGTCCTAACAGCTATTACTTGGTGCATTAAGATGTAACTTTGACCACTGTAACAGATTAAAAAAAAGAACAAGTCTGAATGTTTCATTTATGAAAGAGTAAAGCATACAAAGAGTGTGCAATTTTTTTAATTTGCACTGTAAAGCAGATTGTAAATTTACAAAAACCATTGAAGAGTTTAGTTTTTTTAAAGCTGAAATGTTACTAATATAAACTCTGCAACAAATGTAACTAAATTTAAAATACTTAACTTTCACTGTTTTCATAACTTGTTTATACGTTACACCTCAGTTTTGATAAGAACACAGGCCTTTTAATACACACTAAGGCAACTTTGTTTTCAGGTGCCTATGTACTTACTAGTGCAATGCCCCTGCTCTTAATAATTCTCCCTTCCTCTAAAAACCAGAAGAGGATCCTATACAGGAATGCTCTTCATTTTAAAAAAAAGCAGCAACAACCAAACAAAAAACACACCCCAAAAACCTCCCCACACAACACCATTGCCACAATTCAACATTCATTTCTTCTATTGGAAACGGAAGCATTACTGTCTCTTTTCCCTACCTTGCTGCTGGATGTGGATGTATGTCACTTAAATCTAAACCCATCTGCATCTCTTTCAGAGGAATACAAAACATATTTTTTGTAATTCATATTGGTCATCATATAAAAAGACAACCTTTAGTCAATGGAACAAAGAAAAAAAATCTCAACCAATTGCAGTAACAGAGTCTCTCACTGATGGTACTATACTATATCCCCCTATATCCAGTAAAAGTGATTTTAGTAGAAAAAATATTTCTGGCAATGCTTATAAACTGCTACGTCCTCTAAGAAAAGAATCAGCCTAGTATGCCCAGCAAACATACCCTACTCCTAAACTAAAATTACTATAATAAACTTATATAGCCTTACCTCCAATAGTGTGTAGAATTTGTCCATTTTTCTGAGTAACCAAAATCCTATGATGTCCAGTGTCTGCTATTACCAGCCTTTCTCCTGAATTATCTACAGTCACTTTGCCAGGAAACAGCAGGGGAGAAGGTGGGAGGGTGTCCCTGTATAGCTTTATTCCAATGTTGTTGTCTTTGATTTGTCCTCTCTCCTTGTAGAATTTCAGTGTTATAGAAGTAAATAAAAACAACTTCTCTCTGTGTCCCTCTCCAACAAGCGAAAACAGCATATTTCCACGAGGCCCGAGAAGGACCAGAGTTGGCCAGCAGGACACTTCTAGTTCATGCCACAGTGTTGCATCTGCATCATTTACTACAGGGTGCACAATATTATACCTCAGAACAGCACTTTTAATGTTATCCAGAACTTTTTCATTTGGGAATTTCGCTGAATGGACACCAACAATAATAAGACCGTCTGAAAGGAAAAATAAAATCATGCATTGATACATATTTGTATTTGAATTAAAAAAAAAGTAAAAATGAAGCACATTTATCTCACAATGTAACTGACTGCTTTCCAGAATGAAAGAGGATTTGAACAAACAAAAAGCAATTATATCTCAGTAGGAATACAGATAGATATGTATACAAAATACTGAAACTCAGAAATAACATTTCAGTAAAATTACTGAACTTTAGGACCATTACTTCCCCAGCTGGTTGACATTTAATATGTCATAAATTGTTCTTAGTTCCTGAACCTCTACATAGTAAGGTAGGAAATACTTTCAAAATAATTATGGGTAAGTTGTAGCAGCTCAACTGATACTTTGTTTTTTTTCAGATGTTTATGACACCTCTTTGGATTCCTGTACACAACTATGGTGTTTTAGAAAATTAATTATTTTCCACAGTTAACTAGGAATCACAAATATAACACTGAACTCCAGAAGTCCAGAGTTACCTTGGCATATCTAACTCTAGATAAACAGTAAAAAACCCCCCAAAACCCCAAAACCCCCCAAAAACCCCAAAACAACCAAAAAACTATAGGCTTCTGAAATCAATACAGTATTCTATATTTCAAATAAAAATGCCAGGACTGACAACTATGACAAAATTACAAAAAGCACTTGTTACAAAGCAGGCAGGCTTGAACCCTTTTCCTTAAAAAAAAAAAGGGGGGGGGGGGGGTGTAAAAAATTTTTTTTTTGCCCCTCCCCTTAAAATGTTTAACTTAGTTTCTGTATTTGGTTAATAAAGACAATGAAGAGTTCAGGTTTTCCCATAGCAGGGATAACTGCACTTCAAATCCTAGTACAAAGGTGTTGCATAAGCGTAAAGTAATATAATTCTGCTTATATACATTGCATACATAATACCAACCCTGAAATCGATCAAAAGCACACAATTATGAGCTTCCTTGAATTGTTTGCTTATTTTCTTAGTTTTATGAAATTCAAACACAGAAATAAAAATCCATGGCTCAGACTTCAGCTGCTTTTCCCTTGTGATAAGAAATAAATCTGCTTCCACCCCATGTAGACAATTACGTAAGCAGCCCCAAATTTTCCACTCCCCCTCCCTACCCAAGAAAGAATAAAGAGCCTTCCTTTAGTCAAGCCACTTTTCAGTGGCTTCTAGGAGGGGAAGTAAAAAAAAAACCCAAAAAAACCCACCTACATCCTTTTTCAGGGCTTTAAATTATGTTTCACTAGCATAACCTCCACCAAATGAAATAAACTGTGCATGACATCAATACCATACTTCGTCTTACTTTGTACTTAAAGAATACTATTAGCCATAAGCATAATCTTGTTATAGTCAAAGTAACTTGTCAATTCTAACTGAAGTAAGGAAGATAACAACAGTAACCATGCAGTTCTAGAAACCTGCAATACAATAATTTTAAACCAGACCTGTTAATCTAATGGAAATCATTAGACATTAACCTTACTACTTATCCAAAAATCACTCATGTTTCTGCATAGTGCAAGCATTTTGTAACCACAAATAACAACTGGGATCTTTCTACTTCTTCGTCTAAGTAAAAGTTTTAAATTTGCATGTGATCTTTTGTGTTATTTTGAGGAGAGGAGTGAAATTAAATGGGAAAGGAAAATATCCTTAGAGTTGACGCCCACATGAGTTAATTTTACTGCAGTATTAGAATTTATTTTGACAACAAAAAAAGTACTTTCTTTTTTTTTCCCCAGTCAGGTCTATAAAAACATTTAGCATTTATAAACCCTTTTATCAGTAGCATTCAAATATCTGTGGCATTTCCTTCCTTCCCACAGTCACCAATATCTATAGGTGGATTCCTTATAGCATCATATTTTTTCAGTAATACAAGTAATACCAAAAAGCAAAGAAGACTTGGAGTCTGTACAAGGTGGCATGGAATAAGAACAGCCATTATCCCATCTAATCCAATTCTGATGATGTTTATACTCTGAAACATGAGTGTAGATCCTCGAAGAACTTCATAAGGTTCTTAAATCAGACTAATTTGTGCTTGTACAAATAATCACTGCAATTGAAAATGTTGTGTTGTGCTACTATAGACAAAATAGGTTTGGTTGAACAGTTATTAAATTTAGATAAGCAGGATACAATTTAGTTATAAAAGATAAAGGCAGATGCACAACGTATATCTCTAAGTAAGCAAGTTCTGTCATTTAGTGCTTACTCTAATATTGTTATGCTTTATCCAAAACAACAGCCAACGGAAATAGTCCTCCTGAAATGACACTCATCTGGACAAAACAAATTTTTAAATAAATGTTTTCTCAGCAAAGTTTTAAGAAGACTTGAGAGTATAAACTGTTTCAGTTACTTGTAGTAGCAGATACTTTATTTTTAGAAGGTAATTTTTTTTCAATTCAAATATAACCATTTGTTACAATAGGAAAAGACTTCATCAATTTATCACAAATCTAATCAGGACACAACCTAAATACTTTCAATCACCTTGCTAACAAATTTATTTCTCATCTTCTAGCTTCTCATAGTTGCTAGAACAGTACCCCTCTTTCCCCCAGTTTTTCTCTCTTTACTCTCCCAGTTGCAACCACAATTATCAAAATCCAGAATTAGCTCTCTGAGAAGGAAATCCACACAAAAAAATAATTTTTTGCAGCTTGCATAATGTACCTTTCTCCTTATCAAAGAAAATGATTTTATTTATTTTGCATTCTAGCATTTTAATTTTTAATCCACAAGAAGTGTACTTTTTTTATGCAGTAACTCACCTATCTTATACATTTTATTTCATTTAGTCTAAACTGTTACGTCACACAACAATTCACTCTAAACTGGAAATTTATGTATCAGATCATTACAGTTATTTGGCACTTACTACCTAACCCATTAAAGGGCTTCACTATTTGTAAAACTAAGCAAATATGTAAAAATAAAATGCTTTTGTAAAACAGTCCGCCAAAAGCCCTGCAGTTACAGTCAGCGGAGTTTGGCATTACAAGAACGGTGAAACCAGCCCTCTGATCAGAGAAGGCCTAAACCAGGGCCCAAAGAGTAACAACTGTAAACAACTGCATCCAAGGACATGGTTTGGAACGGAATGTAGTATTTACTTTTATGCTTTTCTACCTTTATGGTAGAGGTGCAATCTGGCTAGCTGGACATCTTTGTTCTACCTTCACCACTGGTTTTGTGGTAGAAATGTAACAATGGCAATTATTTCAGGTCTTAAATAGTTGTATTATCTGAGCTCAAACGGGTTTGTTTACTTCTAAAGAAACTGATTTCATCTTAAGTTGCCTTTTTATTCAGTTACAGAGGGCTTTTTTTCAGTTACAGAGAAATTGAAAAGTATTTTTCTCTTTTAGCCCTCCTCCTCAACCACAAAACAGTGTTAACGCAGAAGAACATCTTCAGTGTGACAACAGGAAAGTGCTGCATAGTAAAAAACTTAGTTGAATATAACAATTTCACAGATACAGAATTAAAAAAAATCACTATAACTGATACAGTCTTTATCAATTCTATAGGTGCAGCATGTTGCAATATCAGACAGCTCAAGTTATAGTATCATTAACTGCTCTCCAAACAGTAGGTCAAATATTTTAACCGTAATAGGATCAGCAGCAGTGCTTATATTTGTCCTTCAAAACCAGCATTCAGGCTAGAAAGACAATTCTATACTGAACACCTGAACAGCACAAAGAAGTTACAACATCCTCTCATAAGAAAACTCCTGTGGAAACTGATGGATGCTATGCTAAGACATAAGAATATGCACACCATTTAAAACACTTTACTTGAATGATTATAACAGAGCACAACACTGGACTTACGCCAAGCTATTTCTAAATATTAAAAAGTACTCCCTCTTATAGAAGTCATTTCTGGACTGCTGATAACATGAACTGAATATGCACTGGGGTTTAAAATAACTTTCTGAATGCCACTTGAAACACAGAAATAGCACCACTGAAGATAGCAGCGAGAACATATCAGCTAAAGATGCTAGGCGACATTTAATCCTATGGAAAGCAGTCTTCATTTTGAAACAGATCTCCTGAAGCTCCAGACAATAGAACTATGTGCATATGCACAATGATATATACAATGGTTTAGGATCACCCTGAAACTACAACTTCTTGTGTCCAGGCTTCTCATGACTGATGATCACACTGCTGAAGTTTCAATATACTCCACATAAGAGAGCACTGAACCACATAAAAAAAAAGTAATCAGTATCAAAAAATGTATGTATACAATGTACAATCAAAGAAAGACATTATATCAATATTGAGGTTTGTTCTTAGTTATGCAGAAAAACATAGGCAACATTCCTTCAAATATTCAAACAATAGATTGAAGATCCAAATGCATTATGAGATAGATGCTTTCTCAGAGTAGAGAAGCTTGTTTTCATTCTGACTAATATTGTCTGCTAGGTCAGCACCCTCTCCCACTTCTATAGCATGGTAAATATATACATGAAACGTGTAAGTAAATGCTATGTTTACAAATCTAAAGTTTAGTAAAGCTGTAGTTTCACTATATATTTAATCCAACTTGATGCTACCAAAAGAAATGTTGCTCATCTTTTGCACCAAAATCAGGTTTTTTGCAATCGCAAGGTGATAGATTTTGGAACTAACCCAAACAAAAGTGAAGGGACTTCCATTAACTAAATAAAAGAGCAGGTTAAAATAGGATGAAACTTCAGAATAAGGCTGAATATCAAGATACTTGCATTAATATATCTAGACATTCTTAAAGCGTTTTTTTATATGTTCAACATCCATTCTGTTTTAGTTTTACTCTTCAAACTTTTATTTTTCTCAAGTTTCTCAAGTCAACAGCTCTCTTTCTCCTAGTGATTAGTAAATCATGTTTGCCTTTGGTGAAAAAGATGCACATTGATGTAAGACCATCCACTGAAGTATTTTTCTACGGCTTAAAAAACCACAACCCTTGCTGCCTTGATGTATTTATACGTATTACTGTAATGCTAAAATTTACACACTTTGGACAGCAAAGAAAGATTAAATAATCCTGAAAAGGCTGACAATCAAAACATGAAAACAGCAGAAAACAATCAAAAGGGAGATTCATAGTGAAAAAAACCCACGTATTTTTCTTTTTGTTTGAACCATCAAGCACTTTAATCTCTTCCTGAATCAAACTGCTGCCCTCTGTTTCCTAATGGATTAAATTTAAGATTAATGTTGCACACACCTGCTCTTCTTTCCTTCTACCTCCACTCTCATCCCAACTATCTTTTTTCTCTCTCCGGTTCCTATAGGAACAGGATAGCTCAAATCCAAAACCAATTTACTAGGATAGCTCAAACACAAAAAGAATTTATCACCTATCAGCAAAGTACTTTCCTCAAGTAAGGACTCCTATGAAAGGAAGTTTAATAAAAGTCAAACAAAAAATGTGTCTCCAAGTGGACTCCAGTTCAGTTCAGAGTGCTGCAGCCTCTTCTACACCAGTATAGAGATGTTCAAATACTTTAAAGAGAAAGCTTGTGGGGAGAGGTTGTTAAAATGAGTATTTTGTTACCAACTGATTGAACAGCTTGGTCTTAGAAAACAGATTAAGGATATGACAGCTATATTAATACTATACTATTAACTATTAATACTATATATTAACACTATACTATAAAATGTTTATAATTTAAAGATATTATTCATTATATGATCAATGTAATCTGAAATCTCAATCTAGACCTTCTTCCCAGCATGCCTGATATCCACAGCAGTCCATTTATCATTTGCTAATCAGCTTCCAGTTACAACCGCCTCCCTTCCCCAAAAATGCCATGACAGTTTTTCCTTATTAGATAAAGTTCCTCATATCTGAAACACTAAACCAGATCTCAAATTTCTCCAAAGCAAACAGCTAAGCTTTCCAAGGTAGAAAAATTAGTTTGAGTCTTCTCTAAAGCACTATGTAAACCTACAATATATAAGTGAACTACTTAAAGTTAACTTGAAATTTCAAAGGCATTGTAATTTCTTTTTCTAGTGAAAGAAGGTAACACATGAAAATAAATGCTGCCAAAATTAAAAACAATGAGAAATGCCAACAGAGAATCAGAGACTTAAACATTATAAGATAATGTTATTTACTACATATATATATTGCATTTAATACAATATTTTTAGGGCTGAAGGTAACACTGTTCTTCATCCTACTGTTCAGTCTATTAAAATATCCAAGATAAGTGAGTAGCTGATACATTCTGTGTACGATCACAGCTTATCTCTGACAAGTCATCATGATGACAAGAGACTGCATTCTAAATAGTAATTGCCCTGCATTTTTATTCACTCAGAGAGATAGATTTCATCTCAGATGTGAATTTAAAGAGCTTAATTTCCTCTCCAGAATACAAGACTACTAATGGCATATAATGTGATGCCAATACCAAAAAAATTCTAAAACAAGTTTACATATTTTGTTGTTTCAGTTAGAATGGAAAAAACAAGTAACCTTAACTATATCCATTCTACCACCTTTACTATAGTCTTCTCAGAGTTGGTTCCTAAGTCAAGTGTAGAGGGTTACATACTTACATTAACTTTGAGCCTGTATCTTACATCCTTGTGTAGCTTTTTGCAAATAGCCTTATTTATAAGGATATCAGATTTGGGCTTTAAGCACATATACTATTTCTTTAATTATACAGACACAACAGATACCTTATTTAACCCCATTTAAAAATGTGATGGGAGTATACACAGTCACCTTTTTTAGGCTACTTAAAAGATTAGAAGACATTTTTAGGCACCCCTGAAATTTTGCCAGCTGTTTAGTAACCAGCAACAAAGTGACTCAGCTACTCTGCCTGCAACACTGCCAGTAAATTCTATTCCAAGCAAGCCAAAGCACTTTTACCTTTATCAGAGTACTGGCGCTCTAATGCGTGGAGATCAGGCAGCAGGTGCAAGCAATTGATGCAGCAGTAAGTAAAGAAATCCAACACCACAACTTTTCCACAAAGGTCTTTGTGAAGAGAAATAGGACCTGCAGTGTTTAACCATTGTAGATCTGGAATTCAGAGAACAGTGATACCCAGTTAGGGGAAGTGTAGGGAAAGGCAGACACTTATACCTAATTTGCACACCACCAAACGTTCCTGCTACATTTCACTTAAAAAAAAAAAAAAAAAAAAGTTCAACATTCCTTTCCACACAGGTAGAAAAGCAAACCAGAAGTCTTGTATTTATCCAACTCATCCTTACGTTCCCTAATTCTTCATAATTAGTAAATGAAAAGAAATACTATTAACAAGATTTAATGTAATATTCAAAGTCCAGTTTATATATTTAAATAGGCACCTTTTTATTGAAAGAACATGCAAGCCTCAGAAGAATTTTCATGCATTTTAAAACATGATCTACATTATTCAACCCCTAATGATGTCATATGGGTAACAATTAATTATTTAAAACTCACATAAATGCTAGTAAAGTAAAAATCTGTTAAACTCTTAATGATTTTTTCCACAGTTTTGTAAAGAGCTAATTTCAGAGATGATTAAAAAGTTTTTGTGTTTATAGTTTTGATCTTGATTTTCAAAGTTTGAAATGACAGGTATAAATTAATCCTGTTACATGGGAAGAAATACAACATTTTCAGATATTCCCGGTAGTACTCCTGGTCATTTATTTTAACCACTTGATGAGAGACATGAAAGCATTCTTTTCTCATTGGTAACTGATATTCCTCTGATCCCACTAGAAACTGGTATCAAGATGAGAAAGAAATATCCTAGAATATGGTCTGCTGTTATTATCACTTAACATTTCTGAGAATAATAGGGTGGGGGAAAGATAGATGTGATACAATGCAAAGCTGAGCTAAATTTTTGACAACCTGTTTTTTAAAAATGTATTCTGACTAATCTAAAAATCCTCAAAACTTCTACTCTAACAGTTTCAGCAAACTAATTTCTTACTGCCCCAGGAGAAGTTATTGGTGCTGAAGTCAGCAGGAAGCTCGTTTTCACTTTCACTAGGAGGAGGATTGATCTCTACCTCCATACATTTATAAACATAAACAGATGCACACAAATTCAGATTTGGTGACAATAATGAGAATAATTTATCAAGTGTATGCATTATTTCCACAGTATAAGGGCTTTACTGTTTACTTTTTAAAAGAAAAGAGAAGGTTATTTATTTATGGCATTGCTCCCCTTTTCACTATAATTAAAATACCTTTCATAAAAAAATACTGGAAAAAATATTGGCTACCTATTTGAGCTCTTTTTAGAGTAGAAAATAAGCTTTGACAGAACACAGAAAGTGAAACAATATTAATGACAAAAGCGAAAATTCAGTTCAGGGTCCAAATCTAGACAGAAACAGCATTCACTTTGCTCCATTGGTTAAAAGTCAGAATTCATTCCTACGATAGGTATGTGATTTTAACCCTGAAGTTTACCTCCCGAGGTCTCTGTCTTGCAGTCAGATGTGAGCTCCCACACTTGCCGAGAGCCTTACTGAGGTTAAAAGGATCCTGAGCAGGACTTGCAAGATCTTACAAGACTTAACCTTTGATTTCACACTTAGCACAAGAAGAGATACAGAAATGTGTGAAAGGGAAATGGGCGCCCCACTGAAGGAGGGCGACTTCTCCAGCACAGTTTGTATTATCGGGGACATGAAAATTGACAAGCACAGGTAAGTCATGCGGAGAAAGAGCTGAGAAACATCCTGAGCGGCTGCAGTGAAACCAAGGGAGCTCAGGGGAAAGCTGCGAGAGTTGGTAAGGTTCTCACTATGACCAGAGGAGAGAGGTATCAATATACTGCACAGAAGGGAGAGGCTTTACTTAAAAAAAAAAAAATTAATGAAGCTAGCAGAGATTTAGAAGACAGGACCAGCAGCAGGGGAGCCTTTATAAAGGGCTTCTTTTTTCTTGTCCTTCGCTCCCGGTGCTCTCAGGAGTGACATTTCCTGTAACTAAAAGCGCCTTTTAGAAAAAAGCGGCGAACGCGGCCCCCGCAGGCAGCGGCACCGCAAGGAAAACGCCACACGGTGAGCGTCAGAGCTCAGCCGCCTCCACCGGGGGAGGCCCCGCAGCCGCCGGGCCCGGGACACCGAACCGCGCTCCGCCGCGGGGCCTGACCCGCTCGGGCCCCGCCACCCACCTCCGCCGAGCTCGGGCACCGTTAGGTCCCGCTCCCGGCTGTCCATCTTCTTCAGGTACTGGTAGACCAAGTTCTCCTTCTCCTGGGCAGTAACGGCGTCGAGCAGGGCGTACTCCAGCTGGGTCTGGGCGGGCAGGAGCCCCGCCAGGCCCCCCGCCGCCATGACGCCTCCTGGGCGAGCCCGCCACCGCGACGGGCCGCTGTTTACCGGCCTGCCGTTTCGCCGCCGCACATTCGGCACCTGCCGCAAGGCGGGGGAGGAAAACTGTAACTAAAAAAAAAACCAAACAAAAACCCAAACACAAACCCCCAAGCCTAACCCCAAATACGCAATAACTCGTCTGTCTTCTCATTAATTTCGTGTTTTTACATAGCTTTGATATCCACAGAAGCACAGCCGTGAGGAGAATCCCTCGCGGTGATTCCAGCTCAGCAGATTCAACACAGACTGCTTTTCCCGCCCAGTTACTTTTTTTATTTGCAAGTGGAACAGATGTGAAAATCGGGCAGCACCGGACAAAGTCCAAAGCAAGCACCAATAATTTAAAAGGGGGGTTTTTTTTTTTGGGGGGGGGGGGGGGAAATGCTATGAGAGAAGCGGAAAGTTGAGCGACCGCCGTGGTGACGAAACTGCGGAAGCGAATGCGTTGTCGCGGCGGCAAACGGCTGAGGAGAGGCCCCCGCCCGCGAAGGCGCCCGCCCGCGAACCTGGGTGCCCGCGGCGGGAGATTGCGGGGAGGCAGCCGCCCTCGGTGCCCGCGGCGGCGGGACGTAAGCGCGGGCCTCCCGCCCGGCAGCGCCGAGCCGGTGTATGCCTTCGCCGTGTGGTGACTCCCAGCAGCGAGCCCGTAGCTGAACTCTTCGTCGTTTTCTTTTAAGATCTTCGTGTTTTGGGGCAGCGAGGTGCGGGGCTAGCTGGGCTTCACCTTCCGAGGCCGGGCTGGGTGCTTAGGAGAGGGATAGCTGAAGGAAATGGCTCACCCTGCAAGTCTCTCTGCATCTTACAGAGTTGGGTTTTGTTTAACAGGTGTAGTTACAAATACTGGAAGAGACTCTCATTAAATTACTTTTTTGGGTTAGGATCCACCATGCTTCTGTCCCATCCTGGACTGCTGTTTGGTTTGTGGCCCAGTGTTGCTTTTTTAAAATGGAGTTCAGGTGCTTTTTTTCAGCTAGTGAAGGGGGGAGGGAAGAGAAAACATATTAACGGAGGGAAAGGTAGATTTGTGAACTGTTGCTTAAAAGGAAGGAGAATATTTCATGTGTTGCCATGTCTGAAGATGCTTTATTGGAAGAGGACATTTGGGAGTACAAGTCCATTAGGAAGGAAAAGTGTCAGAGTAATTCAGAGAGCATCTCTACACCTGTGCAGAACGTAAGTGATAGCAAGTGCAGGCCAAAAAGAAAGAAAAATAGAAATAAAAAAAAATCCATAGAAAAAACTGATACGCTTCAGAAAACTGAGCAGAGATCGAGGCCAAATCAGGATGTAGATGAATGTAAAGATGACAGCAGTGTGCACTCCCAGGAAAGCGTGAGTAGCCTGACGGAACAGAGCTCACCAAATGCAAAGCCTATTCATGATGGATACTGCCCGAGCTGCCAGATGCCTTTCTCTTTGCTATTGGTCCAGACACCTCGATGGCATGTTGCTGAATGTTTGGATACTCCAGGATCCATTGAAAAAGGTATGAATAGAGTAAGAAAAAAGCCTTCGGAGAAAAGTTAAAGGCTTGTCACATAATGTTGCTGTAAACCTTGGTTTTCATATTTAGCTCAAAATCTGAGGTGGTAGTTGGTATGATTTTTAGAATGTTATTACTGATCATTTATCAGTGTTATTTTTGTATGAGATTTTTGGTTCTTTGTGAAGACCATGGAAATCTGACACGAAAATCTCATATCAGAATCTAATCTCAAAACTTTGTAGAATGGTGATAAAGATTCATGGTTGTTTATCAAGCTCCAGTTTTAGTTGTTTATTGAAGAAACTGAAAGCGCATGTTTACCACTAAAATAATAGAACCTGTTTCAGTTACTAAGTCAGTGTCAGCAAAAAACCCTTCATTTAAGAGGCTGCTACTTTTGACACCAAATTTCTTTCTCCTTAGGTATAAATTTTCTTAACCTGTATCCATGTTGCTGTGTGATTTGTCCACTTGTCTATGAATAGTTGGAAGCTGAAATCAGTCTGTTACGCTAATTTTCTTGAAATGTTAGCTGCTGGTCCAGTATGCTTTAGAAATTTATATGAAATTTTACATGAACATTCCTGTATCATAAAACAACACAGTTTTGTTTTGAGTTTTGTACAAAAGAAGTAAAACTGACTCATTCCAATTGCTAGTTTCATGTGGGGAAACACTATGTCTGAACAGATCCAGGTATCCAACTTAAGTTCTTAATACACCTCATAACTTTTGAAAAACAAGAAAGCATACAGTCAGGAAACTTGAGTAAAGGCTGTCACACAGTCACTTCCCTTTTTGTATCTTTGTAACTTTCCTTGAAGTTTCTTCTTCAGAACAATGAAATGTGAGTCCTTTAATCCCGATTTTGGTAGTGGTTTTAACTTAAGGCAGATGTGTTAACACCTCATTTCCTTCTCTTACTCCCATAATTAACAGATGAAAAATCCTTCTGATTGATTTATGCATTCACCTTAAAGTCCTCAAAAGTTAGGCTAGCAAACTCTCAACAAAGAAGGCTTAGGGAACAGCCACAGATTTTTGCTGGCATCTCAATCTTGAATACTTTTTTCACATAAGTAAATACATTCCTTTTTTTAATTTAATGTGTAACCCAGCAGACAATTTGAAATGGAATTTCAGGTTGGTTCAGAACTGAGATATGAGTTTATTTTGAAACATGTCTACTGGCCTTTTCTGGTGCTACTGCTCTGAGCTCATTGCTTGCATGTGAGACAATTCTAAACTAGAAACCATGGGATTGCATTAGCACAGCATTCAAACAAGGTTAGGTACTCTTGTTGTTAGAGGGCTGTAATAATTCAGGCATAGGACTGTATGAGCAGCTGTTTGGTTTTAGCTTGGAAGCATTCTCATTTCTAGCCAGCTCAGGGCAGGAGGTCTTGGTGGCTTGAAAGTTACTTTTTACTTGTGCCGCCTTCCCCCAAGAGCTGCATTTATAGAAAAAAGCTTTTAAATCATGTGTCACGTGTGATTTTTATTTTAATAATTATGCCAACTGTATTTGCAAAAATACTGACATTATTTCTCTGTTTAACTCTTTTCATAGAGTGTCCTGATGGTTTACTGTGCAATTCCACCATTCCATCCCACTACAAGCGTTACAGCCATTTTCTACTTGCAGCAAGCAGGGCAGGAGATTATCTTGTAAACTCTTCAGCAAACACTTTGGAGAGAAAGATGACATGTTCTACTACTGCAAAGCTCAGCTGTTCCCCAAGTCATGTAGAGGAAATCTCACAGAATAAGAAACCATCTAATAATGTAACAAATGTCCCGAGTGATGATTGTACATTGATGGTACAGAGATCACCGCAAATGAAGTCTCTAAATATAATCAGTGAAAGTACTTCCTCTTTTGCAGATATTCAAAAGCCTCAACAGACATTTCAGCTTACACAGACCACAGATGATAGTTGTAAATTTGAGTTTTATGACTTTGCATCTTCTCAAGAAAGTGGAACAGGAGAAGACCTGTGTAGTCAGAAAGATACAAATCAGCCAAGTCTACTACAGTCAAAAGCGGACTTCAGTGATTGTGAAATTTCTTATTCTCCACTTAGTACTTTTGAGGAAAGTGAAGAGGAAACTGAGGAAGAGGAGAAGAAATTAAAAATATCACAAAATAAATCATTCAAAGTCTGGAACTTTGAAGATGAAGAATCTAATTCCGTGGTGTTTAAAACATTTGATGGACTTCTCTTACAGCAGAAGCCTCAGTATGAGCATAGCAAAATGGGAAATTTCATAATTAAAAAAAACAACTGTGAGGAAGCAAATACATTGAACCATCTAAATCATAGTGTAAAAACTGTTTCTCAGAGTCACATGAACAGCAAGTTATGTAATTCAACATGTGCAGACAATCAGCATCAGGAAGAGGTGCTAACCAGCGGATCCTCTTTTCTTTTTAATTGTGAGGAGGTTGAACAGCCAGAACTGATTTCCTCTGCTGCTAAAGCAGGTAACGCAGAGTCAGAAGATACTGGTGCTTGTGCTTTGGATTCTGCATACATGAGTTTTACTGAGACATCATCATTGCTAGTCAGAGAAGATGCTGGGTCTCTTCTGACACAGAAAAGTAATGTTTTCAGGGACCAAAGTAATACTTTAACTAATACAGATAAAATGACTGCCAATGCAGTTGAAAAAACAGCTCTCCAGGAGAGTTTGCAGTCGGTAGTGGAGAAAGAAGGAAATCTTAATACAGCTGCAGTGTGCTTTCCCAGCCCAATCTCTAAAACGGTACCATCTCTTTCTTTAGCAAGTATGAATGCTAAATCCAGTTCTGCCAAAGAACTCAAACAAATGGACATTGGTGTTTTCTTTGGGTTAAAACCCAAAGTAAAAGAGGAAAGCAAAGGAGAGACATGTTTGAGTGAGGGAAAGCAGATACCAAGTTCACTAACTCCCAATGGAAAGAGGCCCAGACAGCAGAAAAGGAAAGCTGAAGGGTCTGTGGAAGATGGAGAAGCAGTTACAGAAAGTTCAAGTAAAAATGGAGCCTTTGCAGATGTAAGTTCTGGTAGCAAACAAAGGTGGAGAAAAAAATTTAAAGAATTATCTACTACAGGTGAAGGAACAAGAAAAAAACACTGCCCTTTCTACAAGAAAATACCAGGTGAGAAGTAACTGTTGCTTTTTGCAGAGGTTAATTTTGGCTTGAGTGTTGTATTTTTTTACCTAATTTTAGGCTTCAGTATTCTTCACTCTTCATACCCATTTAAACTGCAGCTCATAATGAATTTTCTTTCCTCCATCTAAGTTGATAAAATCTTGTGTAGGTGCAGATTTCCGAAAGAAGGTGATTGTAGAACCAGTCAGCAGTGGCTGAAAATAGTTGGTGAAATAGTTATCTCAGGAAAATTACTTCAGGGACTGATTTCTGAATGTTTTTGACAGACCAAAAGGCATAAGCAGTATTGAAAGATGGATCTACTTTCTTAAATGGTTTTGAATATATCCCTTGTTAATATTCAGTCCTAATTCCTGAATTTAATCTTTTACATCACTTCAGTTGTGCCTCAAAATAGGGCTGTCAATAGCAATTATTTCCTCACACTAAGTTAAAGGAATTGAGTTTAATTTTGCATTTGAAATTCAATAGTATTAGAAAAATTATTTACTACAACTGTCAAAACAAAGAAATGAAAACCAAGCAGAAGAGTTTACTTAAGGAAACAGCCAAGAATTTCTCAGAATATCCTCAAGCAATTACATAAATTACAGGATGATGGATCAGCGGCTTAAAAGGCTTCAGATCCTCATAGTTCTGTTTACCACTAAAGGACTGTCTTAGTCTTAGGTGGATATTTGAGGAAGCCAAATAGAAATATATTAGAGATCCTAAGTGCCAAGCTGCTGCTTGAAGACTGACCTGTAAATCTTTGTGGGGCTACACCAGTATCATGGCTTCCATGGGCTTAGAGAATTTTCCATATACGATAAATTTGAAGAGCAGACTCCTATGCCTACGATGTAGTTTTAAAGTTGCTTTGTTATTATCTATATTATCTTTGTTCTGAATTTTGTTTCTACATTTGAAGTATATTTGACTGTATTTTCTATGTTGCTAATGATATGTGTTTATCCCCGTGGCCTAGTATATTTCAGCCTCCCTGAAGTTTTGAGTCTGGTACCTCTCAAACACTTTGGGATTTTTTGGTTTGTGATTTTCAGTTAGCAGACTGCTATGTTTTTGGAGTTGCAAATACCTGAAGTTCTAGCCTCAGGTAAAACTATTTCTAGTTCTAGAAGATCTGGGAAATTTGCATAACATAAAATGAAAAATATTTGAGTGCCGCCAGGTTAATTAGTTCTATGCACTATTTGGTGGTTTTATGAAACTGTAACCCAATGTGAAAGGACCATTTGTCAGTATGTTTGCATTTTAAAAAAATTATGTTTGCAGAGAAAAAGGGTATCTTCTATGCAGTTGTCTTTATGCAACATCTTTATACAAACAGGACCTTACTGAAAGCATACAATGGCATATTGGTCATGTTTTATCTCAGTGGATATATTCAAAGACTCCAGATTGCTTGCTTGATAATTATATGGTAGCATGTTTTAAGAGGAATATTAAATGTAGAATAATTGAAAAATTGCAGTTTGATTGCAAAATTCATTATGTTAAGCTGTGGTTATCTGTTTTATTTTGTGTTAAGATGTTGGTATTAGATTTTAGTCTGCATGAACTTTCAAAAATACCAGCTGAACGCAGATAAATGTGTTTTATTTTCTTAACTAGTTGCCATCTGTGTAGGATGGCAGCTGAACAACAGATATTTGGGAGACCTGTGAAAGTATTTGTGTGTGGACACTTAAATTTTTATTTTAATAAGTGAAAATGGTTTTGGTGACTGCTGACTCATGTGCAAACCATGCTTATCTTTAAATGGCTCCTTCAACTGTATGCAGTGTAACTGTATTCCCTTTTAATTTGGAAGAAAGAACAAAAGAAAATTTAATTAGAAACTAGTTCTGATCTATGCATGTCTACTGACTGGCTTCTTTTCCCTTTTTGCTATAGGAACTGGTTTTACAGTTGATGCCTTCCAGTATGGAGAAATTGAAGGCTGCACAGCTTATTTCCTTACTCATTTTCACTCTGATCACTATTGTGGGTTAACAAAAAACTTCATGTTTCCAATCTACTGTAATAAGGTAAGGTTTTCCAAGATTACTAAATATTATCAAATCCATATGCAATTATAATCACTTTTATACTGATGAAAGTAAATAGAAGATCAGAGGTTCCATTGTTGGGTCAGTTAGGCACACTGGATATGTATAGGGGAATCTGGGTTTCCCTTGTAAGAAATTCTTACCCTGATTTGACTGATGAAGAATATTAGTGAAAATTCCCTGTCTATATACCATGAAAAAATTCAAGTTTAAAAGGATGTCTAGAGGTCATATAGACTTATCTCCTGTGCAATGTGGGTCTAAGTTAGATCAGACTGCAGAGAGCCTTTGTTGGTCAAATTTTGAAAATAGGACATTTCACTACATCTCCTCGCAACCTGTTGCAGTGCTTACCCACTCTGAAATTTTTTCCTAATATACAATTGCAATGTCCCTTTTTGCAATTTGAGATTGTGACTTGCTCTTTTTGTGTGCATCGTGGAGAAGAATCTGTCTCTATGTTCTCTATAACTCTATTTAAGTGATGGAATTCTGAAATTAGATTCTGCTTAAGCCATCTCTTCTCCACATTATGTACATTGAGTAGTTCTAGCCCAGTCCTGTGTGTCCTGTGCTTCAGGCTGCTGAATGGCCAAGGCTGCCATTTGCTATCATATGTCCAACCAACTCTTCTTTACTCATAACGTGGTAGGGCACCTTGCCTAATCAAACCATCCAGAACCTCCATCAAAAAACTATTTCTGGTTTACTCTGGAAGTCTCCTGGAATGCTTGTGTCCCGTTTTGCCCTTCCAGCAGGTGTTGGGGTGGCTGCAGTCGTCCATGATGAGATCCAGGGCCTATCACCTAGAAATTTCTCCAGTTGTTTAAAGAAGTCTTTGCCCACCTCCTCTTCTTGACTTGGCAGTCTGTAACAGATGTTATTCCCCCTTGTTTGCCTCCTCTCTGATTCCAATCCATAACCTGTTGACAGGTTTTTAAAAGTTTGCTTTTTTAAGACAGCTTTTTTCAGTTTGCTTTCTGAGAGATGAAATGCTACTGAAAGGCTTGATTATACCCAGGATCTCATAGTTTCTCTCTAAGCCAGACAGTCTGGCTTTGAGAGCCTTTGTTTCTAAAATAAACAAAGGCTTTTTTTAGATTTTGTTCATATTCCATACTAAATCCTTTCCCTGTTACAGATAACTGGCAATCTGGTGAAGAGCAAACTTGGAGTCAAAGAGCAGTACATCCACATGCTGCCGATGGACACAGAATGTGTAGTGAATGGGATCAAAGTGATGTTGCTCGATGCCAATCAGTATGTGTCATTGCATTTGCTGTGGAATATTTGTATGTATAGAATATTAAAGATGAATAGCTGTACAGATACAGTTTATGTTTTCATGATTTTTAGGTTTCAGTGGATATGAAAAAAATGAAAGGGTAAAGATACTTCCTATACCTGAGTCGGCTTAGTAATGTACATTTTCACTTCAGAAGTGAATTAGGCATGTAGGAGCCTAAATTTCTTGCAAGTTGTTAGCTTTTGAAATAGGTGAGTTATTTTTGAAAATGAAACTTAGGCTTTTTTGATAATTTTAGTTTAACTTTATTTTATTTGCTTGTAATGCGTATGTAGTGTTAACCACACATACCTCCATAATTTTTAAGCTTGTTTGAATGGTTTTTCTAGTGGTCTGGACATTTCAGTTTTTGGTGTCTAGTAGGGAACGTCCTACATTTGATTATTGGGTATGTTAGGTTTCTGTAGCTTCAACTGAAGATAGTGAAATCTTCAGCTAAAGAAAAATGTGGTCCTTTGGATTCCGGGAGAGACAAAACCTAGCCAACATTTTGAAAAGTGAACTTTAAAGAAAAGCCTGTTGAAATGTGCAACAAGACTTCTACTGGATTCGGTGATAAAGGTTGAGGTTTTTGTCTGGCGTTACGCTGGCACTGTGTGGTGATTCTGGATTTAAAGTTCAGTAGCACCTGACTTCCAGCTGTGTGCTCTTGCTGTTCTGCCTCTTGGTACCTTATTTGGCTATGGGCTAGAAGAAAAGTCCTTTCCCTGAAGTATATATTGAAATGCAGCACTGTGTCACAGCTGGTTTGAATATTACTTATCGTAGGATTTGTTTATAGTTGGAGAGATAAGATTCCATGAAGTCCTTTGAGGATCCTTTCTGGGAATGAAGGAAGCCTTGTTGCTTATGTAATTTGGACACTTCTCGTTTTTTCCTGTTTGTGTTTCTGATCCTCTGCTTCAATTTAAAAGGCATATAAACTTTAGGTACAACGTTCAACTTCTTGAAGAGTCCACCAATTCTGTCATCTTAGCTCTGATTCATGCCAGTTTTTCCTTTTTTGAGATTTCATTTACTCTTTACAGATGATTCATGTCCAAAATAGTACCACTCTGGTTTTCCAGTCTGAGCTCTTGCCCTTCAGCCAGCTTTGGCGAGGAACGGCAGAAGGTACAATGGATTTCCTGTGGCCAATAGGAGAATTGTATTTCTAGCCAGGGAATTCTGGATGGAGGATAATGTTTAAAATCTGCAAATAGAATTTAAAAGGAAATGCTTCAGTAAGTCCTGCAGGAATGAAGATGCATCTGCAATAACACAATTCTGTTTCTCCTGAATAAGAATGCTGCTTCTCTTTGGTGTGCTGTTTCCTCTTTCAATCAAGTAATAGAACCTCAGAGATTGCAACTGAGGCAGCATCTTTGTTGTACCTAGAAGACAGAGTATCCGAAAAAGGTGGCTAATGCTTGATTACTTTACTGTTGGTGTGGTTTTTTCCTTCTCTCCATCTCAGCTGAGAATTCAAGTCTAGCTTGTCTATGGCCATGAGATTAGTTTCAGAATTCCTTTAGAAATCAGGAATTTCGAGCTAAATTAGGCTGCATAGTAGCTGTGATTTGAAATGCTGTTCTGCACACCTTCCTGCTACTGAAGGGTGGTATATCTCTTAAGGCAGTTTATTAGTATAGAGAACTAACGTAATTTGTATGGGTTTTTTTGTTTGTTTCAGTTGTCCAGGTGCAACAATGATCCTTTTCCGTCTACCAAGTGGAAGTGTTATTCTGCACACAGGAGACTTCAGGGCAGATCCTTCTATGGAGCGCTACCCTGCTTTGATTGGTCAACAAGTCCACACCCTTTACCTTGATACCACGTAAGTTGTGTTTAATTTTTTTTTTTTTTTTCCATATAACCCTCTTTTCAATTTAGTAAGACTTTATATGAACCAAATAAACATAAGTATAAATGACATTACTGTTTTAACACTTGTTCTGTTTAGTGTTGAATAAGATCAGATATTTATTGAAAGTCCATGTATGTCTAGTTTGTTCATCTGTTATGCTGTTACATGGGAGAATAAAAGTGGGTGGTGGAGAAGATGCTGAAGTATTTGCTGAGATGACATTATTTATAAGTGGTATTAAATTCTGGGTGTCAGAATTCATACATTGAGTGTTCAGCTCTAAAACAAGAGGTTCATGAACACTGGTATTCTGTGGATTCAACAATATTATGAAGAGGGGTGTGGAAGAATTCAAAGAGTGAAAGAATGCCAAATGGTTAAATCATTCGTCCAGGTTTTCATTAGACCTTTCTTTGACTCATGTATATAAAATTGTTTTTCTGCATATGATGACTAATGCCCAGCTGCAGTCTTTTATTTCTGTTCCATATGTTTCTGCAAATGAATAATGCCTTATGTTATGGTTTGTGTGCATGACAAAAAATAGACATAAGGATGTAATTAGTATGTGATACAAATATCTAGCTTGAAAGAGCAATTGGTATTTATAGAGAAAAAACTGCAGAATTGAGTGTCAGTGTCAGACGAGTGAATAGTTGTAGAGGAAAGACTGATATACTCAATGCAAATTTTATTGCAACAGTTTCATCTGGGCACCTCAGTGGTTTCTAATAAATCTTCTTCATTACTTTGTTATTGTGTGCATGCAGTTTTGAGGGCCTTCTTGGTGAATTCAGATATCTTCCATCTTGTGTAACGAAGCGTGTATCTTGTTTCCATGCCCCAGATACTGTAGTCCTGAATACACTTTTCCTTCTCAACAAGAGGTTATCCAGTTTGCTGTCAATACTGCCTTTGAGACAGTGACTTTAAACCCGCGTACTCTAGTCGTCTGTGGCACCTACTCCATTGGAAAAGAAAAAGTTTTTTTAGGTATGTAAAAAAAGTGTACTGGATCAAATAACTAAGTAAATATCTAAATCAGCGTTAAAAGACCTCTTTCGTGAAGATATAAAGGGTCGCTTAGTCTTGATAGTCAGGTATCGTGTAAAGAAATTAAATATAATAATTCTACTGCTAGTTTTTTAGTTTTCTAATCAATAATTTTTAACTTTCTGAAAGAAATATTTTTCTGCCATGTTTACAAACCCCCTGAATATCTAGAAGGCCAATTTGGATACTAAATGAACAAACCTATTTAATTGATTGTGGTGAGAAAATAGCTGATGGCAATTAAAAAAAAAAATGAGGTCTTTATGACATTTTTGGTGTTAGTAATTTTATGTTGTCAAAAAGCAGCAAAGGGATATAATTATTCTTAAACTTCTATTTTGCTAACAGTTTTTTCTTCCAGGATTATATTACATATCTTCCTAAATATTTATGGTAATCAGTTTTAATGAAATCAATTTTGACAAAGCATTCCCCAAACCAAAACACATCTTTTCTGACTTAATGAAAATCTTGTGTGCTATGCTTCACTCGGTTACAGCATTAGGAACCGGCAAGATTGCCCAAATGTCTACTCTAGAGCAAGCAGCTGTGTACCATTTGTGCTTTTGAGTATATTTAAAGTCATCAATAGAAGACTTAACTTTCATTGAAATTTAGTCTGTCTTTAATGTGGGCCATTTGTCGCATATTCCAAAACCTGCACGTGTTTCTGGCATCTTTGAAATAAATACTGGTTCACCTCGGTAACATTCTACCAAAGAAGTATGACTTAGAACTTATCAAAGTACTTCTATTCTCCTTCTCTTTCCAATTGTCGTACACAATTCTGCTGCTAAAATACAGGAGCCAGAGTTTTTTAACAGCTATTACAGGTTTCTCTTCTTAATTTTAGAATATGAAACACTATATCCTGTTGAATATGGATTTTTTTTCAACAGTAAAAATGATCCAGTGCAATAATTAGGCATATCTCCAAAACAAGCAAAAAATGAACTCCTACAATTTTCTTTATCTGATTTCTTCTCAATTAATCTTAAAGCAATTGCTGAAGTCCTGGGCTCAAAAGCAAGTATGTCCCGTGATAAGTACAAAACACTGCAGTGCTTGGAGTCAGCCGCTGTTAATTCCCTCATCAGTGTGGACTGGGATGGTACTTTGCTTCACGTTCTTCCCATGATGAAGATTAATTTTAAGGTAAGTGCAGAAAATACACTCTGTTGATTAACCTGCTGGCGAATCTTACTGTTGGCTCCTCCCAAGCAGTGTTGTGTTTGGTGCTTTTTAACCTCTTGTCAGATCATATTTATTTAGCAAAGTTTTGACATGGAGCAATACATTGAAAATGAAATGCAATTAAACATTAATATCTGTCTCCAAACATGATGCACAGAAAGTGTAATTTCACTTCAATGCGGTGCTTCTACAAGATAAGATGAGGTTTGTTCAAAGGCTTGCTTTTTGCGGGCCTTTTTGAAGTAGATTTATGTAACGACTGCAGGATCTGTCCTATTCGCAATTAATATGTTGTGACATGGAGTCCCTGTTTTTCAGCCTTTTACCTGGTATGATGTAGGAAAAGCCTAAAAGGATATTCTGCCTGTGAGACTCTGTTTTGAGGCAGCCTGTGAACGTGGCAAACTTCCAGTCTGGTGTTTGATAAAAAAGGAATAGGGTTCTCCATGTTCCTCTCAGTTCAATTTCCATGTATTTATAACCATATTTTCATCTTTTAAAAGAATATTCTCTCTCCTTCTGTGCTGAAGATTTACATGGGGATAAGGATACTTGAAAGTCGATGAAAACTCACACATAAACAAATATGCACACTGAGTGAATTGAAGGACACCTCATATATACATATATTTTAGTTTTTCTACACACCATCTTCTCTAATAGTTGTAGCAAAAGCAAGTAAAACAGTTCATTTTAAGACATTGTTTCATCTAAATTGACCTCAAATGCACATTTCAGTTGAGATTTGAGACAGCGGGTTTTTGTTGTTGAGAGCTTTAATGGGAATTTCTTAGTTTGGAAAGGTGACTAATTCCTGGGGGAAAGTAAGTTTTTACAAAACAGAGTGGCATTAAGGCAAAGCAGCAGGCTCTAGATTAAAGGTAGCCTGGAAGAAAAACAGTGGTTGCTTACGCCTTACAGACTTGGATTCATTTTCCTGCTTTGCTTCGGGCCTGCTGTGCCATCTCAAGCAAATCCTTCAGAGCAAGATGGTATTTAGCTGCAGGACCAGTCAAGGTCAGAGTTGACCTAAAAAGGAGAAAAAGAGACTATATCATTGGGATGGGAGCTGCAGGAGATGGAACTTAATATCTTAACGTTTGAATGTTGTTCTATAATCTTTTCCACAGTGGGGCAGAAAATGAGTAACGTGTATGAATTTATTTTTAGTGTGGTATGATGTTTTAAACAGTAAGATATATTAGTTTCTTCTGCAGACTTTTGTGTCGTTATGTGATTCTACTGTCGTGTCCTAGCGCATATGGAGTAGTCGCGTAGTTGGTCTTCTTCAGACAGATGGTGTGGTTATACCACAAGCATATCTAGACAGCCTTGCTTCTCAGAGAGAGGCAGTTGTATCATGCGCAGGGTCTCATCCCTGAGAATAGGAAGTTCTGGACGAATCTACAGTGTGCCAGAAGTGATGCCTGGACCCTGGAAAGGGCCAGGAAAGATTAAAGCCACTGATCTAGTGGACAAGAGTCCTGGTGTAACAGCCATGGGCCTCTGTACTGGGGCTTTGACTTCATGTGTGAGGTTGTTGGAATGTGGTCTCATGCTGTCATTATTAATTTTGTGTCCCTGTAAGCTAGGCATGCTAGGTAGGCTTCCAGAGTGCTAAACATCCAATGATGCCAGTGGCTAGATGCATAACCAGGTGGAATGTAGTATCAGTAAAATGTGGAGAATGTTAAATGCTTAAAATGAGTTCGTATGACCATTTATGTTATTTCTGCTCCTGCAGCATTACTAAACATGATCTCAGAAAAGACAATATTTTTTAAGATTATATGATCACTTGTAATCTCATTCTAGTTAAAGAATGATGAATGATATCATCCTGGTTTTGCAGACCATGTAAATGTTGATGTCATCATCTCCAGTTGCATGTTTTTGTCTTGTGCTGGATTATACAGTTTTTGTCCTGAATTACTGGCTCATTACTGGGAAAGCCAGAATTTTTTTAGTCATCCTCATCACTAAATGCCAATGCCTTCATTATCTTCTGGGCCTCTCCTACCTCATTTGTTTTATTTGATCCCTAGCCGTACTCAAAAACACAATCCTACTTCTTAATTTGGGCTAATTTCCTGTTTGTGTAGTTTCAGCTGCGAACCTACAAATCCATGAAATCCTTATGGGAGTATTCTTACTCAAAAGCTCAGATTCAGCCCTTATTTAGTAAATTGAGTACATTTGTGATCTTGTACATTACTTGCCTTTTTAGTAGAATGCAAATAGCCAAACCCTGATGGTATATTATAGTATCTCCTAGAAGCCCCAGTTTTATACCCTTTTGTCCCTGTTATGCTCTTCAGCAATAGAAAAAACCCAAACCTCTCTGTGCTCCGGGCTTGATAATCCTAAGAACTGTATGCATGATTCTTCTGCCTTTTATTATTGAAAAACTTCTCTGGTCTGTTTCTAGATAAAGAACCAAAAAAAGCTGCATAAAGTACATGTGCTTACCACAGTTGAAGCCTGGTTTGCAGTAACTGTTGATAAAACTGTGCCTGCCCAAGGAAAGCTTCCATGTTTCCATAGCTGACTGCTCCCAAGACTAACTCTAGATTCCCACAGTTTTCCTTTCTACCCACAATGGAAAGGAAATGAGTTCATGGTTTTGAGATGCTCCTGCATGTACTTCCTTGTTCACAGGCTTTCTACTGTGATCAGGGGCTTTTTTTTCCCCCAATCATTGAGTTTCCAGATTGCTGGAAAATGTTATAATTTTTTTGATAAAATTGATTTTTTTTTTGACTGCATATTCAGGAATTTTAGAAGTATTTTTGCAATCTCTATGTTGTGAATATTTTTTTCCTTTTGATGGCATTGTCCAGCTGCTTAGTTCCAGTTTTGGGGCTATCTGAAATCTGCTTTTCTCCATGTTGATTTTCAGGAGTAATATCAAGCATGTTTTTTCACTTTGGAGTCAGCTGATTTATTATTTGTGAACAACTAGCTTAGCTGTTCATATATGATTTATAAACACTGTATTGATTCAGCAGGGAACGTCATTCACCTAAAAGCCACAGATGCTTAGAGAAACTTCTCCCTGTCTTTCCCCTAGTTACCAGAGTTTAAAGACTGATGTTGGTACCTTCTGCCTAGAACTGAAGCAAACAAAAATGAATAGTGACCATAATTGTGTTAAATCCACTGTGAAAAACAGGTGGATCAGTGAATGTTTTTCTGACAGGTTGAAAGATGATTTTGTAAACCCACAGCATCCTCAGAACATGCGCTATACCCTAGATTTTCACTTGGCCAAAGACTTGGTGACAATAATGTACGGTGCGTTTCCCCTTTCTGCTTGAGCTGTCTTTTGTCAAGGTGTGCACATTTCTATACACATGCAGCCACACTGAGGGAAACTGTGCTGCCTGGCTTGAATGTTTCCATCACTTTTTATCTTCAAATGTGTATTTGAATATTGAATTCTGGGCAATTTTCTATTGCTGTATCAGGAGTTGTGTCACTGTCCCAAAAACCTGTTGAAGAAACAAGTTCAAATTTGAGAAGAAAGCATATCTTTTCTGCTTTATAAATTCACATAGATCGTCTCGATCTGTAGTTAGGATGAAAGCAGTCCCATTCATAATATTGAATACCTGGCCAGGTATCACTAGACTTGATATATGTTATCTAGGCCTTATGACTGCCCCCTTGAAAAGAACCAGTACTTGAAATGAGTGTTTCACTGAGATGTGTGAAGTCTGAAGGGTAAAACTAGAAAGAGCAAGCCATAGGGGATCAGAGGCAGTGAAAATACAGTGGCAGAGGAGTAAGTTTTTTGCGTTGTATTACTGTTGGGTTGGGGGGGTTCTTTTTGTTCATTTGGTTTTTTCCTATGTATAGCTCTGGGTTTTTGAGGAGTTTGTTTATTAGGAGTTGATATCAAACTTTCTTCAGGCGCTGCCTGGCTCGAAAGTGAGATGTCATGCTCTAGGTTCGTGCTCTGGCTATTGTTAATGGATAACATTTACATAAATTTTAAAAATTAAAAAATATGTATACTTTTTATATGTGTGGGTTTTTTAATTAAAATATTTATAAAAACAAAACATGAAGTGCTGCAATATTGCAAGTGGATTTGATATATGAAAAGGAAAAGATTTAAAAAAAAAAAAAAGAGTTGTGGTACTTCACTGCAATACTTGGTTTTACTCCAGTAAAATACAATGTCTGCTGTGTGTACTGAATAATAGCTGTTCTTGAATAAGCCAAACGAGTTTAAGTGGTGTTAGGGCTGATTGTAAATTATTCAGTCATGTTTGAGTCTTCTACCTTATGGAATCTGTTCACATGTATTGCTGACTTCAGTGACACTGTAGATAACACGCTGCCATGGTGATTGAAGGAGGTTGATTTAGCAGTGAAATCTATTTTCCATTTTAAAAGGATGATGGTTTAGAACAGTGTTGGCTAAAGCAATAAAAGAAAAAATTAGAATGTGTATTTAAAGTGGACTTGTTATGAATAAATACTGTAGTAATTTTCTTTTATGGAAAGAGGCCATCTTTTTTAAAATGCATGCATGGTTCTTTTGCAACAAACAGTTTTTTGTAACAGTCAAAAATTAAGGCTTCTGCCACTTGAATATGCAGTAGAAGATTTCCAGAGAACTGGGGTCTTCAGGTCTGTGCACCTCTTTTATGTTGCTTAGCTCAGTAATGTTTTGTACTAGCATTGAGGTGAGATTTTCGAAAGTGCCTGTGACTGAAATGCACAAATAATTTTTTATGAGATTGAAATTGCATCCTTAATGTGAAAGTTTGATTTATAACAAAATTTGAAAGCAGATTAACATTGGTTAATATAATAATCATTGTATTTGAAGTACTGTATTTAGATTTCAGTAGAGCAAGGGGAGCAAATATGTGCATTACTACCTTAAGCTGTGTTAATCGTCCCAAAATGAAGTGTGAAGGAGAATTAGGCCGCTGCAGTTACATTGTTAATCTAGTGAGTACTGAACATTTGCAACCTATTAGGAGTCATGGCAGCTAGCCATAATTGCTGTTGCTGAATGAAAAGTGTGTTGTGGTAGCGTTTTTCTGTTCTTTCACATGCCTAGTTTGATGGATTCTGTATGTTGCTACTGGATGTTGTACTGAAGGTGCTGTTAAATGTGGCAGTGTCACAGGCAGCTTTCTGCTTCCCTGCTTAATAACTTTCAAGTGTCTGACAGGTTAGTTAGTGTTGTATCATGGCCTATCTATTCCCCTCTCTCCACCTTTTTTTAATCAATCTTTTATTTTGTATTCTTCTTCCTGCTGCTGATAAAAAGTTTATGATTTTGAGTTCTATAGTCTTGTAAGGCTTTCAAATGGAGAATATGCCTTTAAGATTTTATACAGGACACATGAAATTGATTTTCTATTTTTGGTTTGAAATAATACTGACTTCACTTTATCCAGGAATAGGATTGTACATTCCTTAAGCTTCCCTCTCATCCTTTTCCCGATCCTAGCTTAAACAATGCTGAAGGCTAACTTAGCCAGCTTGGAAACTTTTTCAAGTTAACTTTTTTAGAGTGAAGAGATGAGAGGTGGTTTCCTTCCTATCATGAATGGAGTCGTGGTAAAACATGGTTTAGTGCTCAGAGTAATACTCAACTCATGCACTGGATTGCTGCGATATTTTGGGTTGCTTGCTTAATTAACTCTGAGCGCTTCTGGGCATAAGCAGATGTCAGGATCTCAGTGGCACTTTAATTTAAACAGATGATTTTGCACTGAAGCAGGCTTTCACCACCTTATATTACCACTCAGCTGCAAGAGTGCTGACCTCCAGCTGAGAAGAGAAAATGAGTGATTTGGGGAGCAAGATCTATAAGATGTGATTATGCCTTATGTGTTCTGATCTGTAAGGCATAGCTGTTAATATGTGCTTATTCAGATGAAGCAATTGAGATCCTAAGGTACAAGGTGCTCTGTAGATGTAAATATGTATCATTAGTAATTTCAAGGCAGATGGTATTTAAAAAGTTAATATCAAAATATGTAAATAAAATTTAGTCTGAAGTCTCTCCATCATGACATCTCCAACCATTAGACTAATGAGCTATTTAATGGTATTAAGTATATGCTATATTCTTTTCACAGGCCTTGCAAGATCACTTGAATAAGTTTTCTGAGAATTTTGATCAAGTTCTGGCTTTCAAACCTACTGGGTGGACCTACTCTGATTCATGCCTTTCTTTGGTGGATATCAAACCTCAGACAAGAGGAAAGATCACCATATATGGTATAAGAGTGGTAAAGATTCAGTACATTTAATTTTGTGTGGATGCCTTTCATATTTTTATTCTGGAAACTCCTACTGTTCTTTATAACCAATGCTTTCTCTGATAACTCATTGAGAAACTGAACAGATGGTCACTACAGGAGAGATCTGTGAACTGAATAATTGAGAACACTGTAAATACAGGTTTTTACATACATTTTGCTCCTGTCCTCCTTGTGCAAAAAGAGGCTTTTTTCTGATATAGGTAGAGAGTTCAGGGGTGAAGTCTTGGCCCAGCTGATGCTGGTGGCAGTGCAGTTCCAGAGCCAAGATTTCATTCCACACCTTACTCATTTGTGAGAGACTGTGAGTCTTCCTCTCAGTTCTTATCGGTGGGTGGAGTTGAATCTCTTAACATTCATTTAACCAAATGCTTGGTGTCGCTCAGTTTGTACTGATGAATGACTTGGTAACTTAATGCAAGGTAATTTTTCCAGAAGGAAAATCCCAAGTTTTCATTTTACCTTAGCTATAAACTTTAGATCTCAAATATGAATTAAAAAAAAAAAAATCATCTACAGTATTTCTTAGCTGGAAGGCTTGAAAAAGTATTTTGGCAAGAAGCTAAGCAGACTGACAGATTGCTGTGATTTGTTTCATTTCAGGGATTCCTTACAGTGAACACAGCAGTTACCTGGAAATGAAGCGTTTTGTTCAATGGTTGAAGCCACAGAAAATCATCCCCACTGTAAATGTTGGTGACTGGAGAGCCAGAAGCTTGATGGAGAAGCATTTTAGAGACTGGATGATTGAGGGCAGTAAACATAAATAAATATAAGGAAGAATATATATTTCAAAGGAGGTAGGCTGGAGTGGGAATTGTGAGTTCCTGTGAGTTTTATTTAACTCATTTTTCCACGGAGTTTTCTTTAGGGAGGACTAAGCTGCCAATCTCCTGAGAAAGCTGAATTTGGGGGTGGGGGGGCGGAGGGGAAAGGCACCTTGCTTCTTCCTGTACCTACTACTTATTTTTCCCATAAATTAATAACTTTTATTCCAAATGCATATTTCTGGTTATTTTTATTTACTCCTTTTTCTCCATTCTTAATTTTCCTAACATTATAGAGATGCCCAGATGTATAATACTGAGGAAGAAACTGCCTCTGGGTTAATAATTTCTGAAAAGAAGTTACTGTAATAAATGAGACGGTATTAAGCGTATGTCACATGCTGTCAATTCAGGCTTCAGAGAAGCTCGTTTCATGAGACAGAACTGGCTATTGTGATTCAAATCTTGTAAACAGAGTTTACCTTGTGAGAGAGGATTGGCTCAGGCTCTTGCAGCAGATGTACTTCTGAGAATGATTTTTATAAAAGACAATGCTACCTACTTTCCACTCAAGATTTTCTGATATTTTTTTTTTTTTAAATAAAGAACCTACATGAAGCTTGTGTGTTCTTTCTGAGCAAAATGTGTTTCTTTTCAGTACCTTAGTTGTTAATCTGAGAAACCTGTCTGTAATATCTTTGGTGAATGTTCTGTATATGTTGATTGTATGAGATTGCTTCACCTTCCTGGTAGTGCAAATTCTCAAAATGTAGTCAAAGCACAGAAGTGGTTCCTCTCCATGTAGTCCCCTACAATGCATTTGGGTTTGCAGGGTTGTTACATGAATTCTGGAAAAACAAGAAAGGCAAATGTTAGTACTGGCAGCAGAAAGGTAAGTTTCACTTTGCATTTTTTTCCCCTGAATCCTACCAGATTATCAGTGCTGCTTTTCCTGTATCTGCTTGGTATTTGTGATACTGAAGTGTGTGGTTGCATGCAGGCACACAGGTATAATTTTAAGCACTAAAATAAAAACTGTTCCAAACTTCCAGGACGTGCAAAAGTTGCATCATACATAAAGAATCATCCCCCAACTTCCCAGAACAGCTCTTCTGAAAACTTCAGTGCCATTTTTTGTTGGGAAAACGTTTCTTTAATGATCAGTGTAAGTATACATAGATCCTTGTCTCTGAGTGACAAGCTCTGTAATGTGAAGTCACTTTGGTTTTATTTCTGTCTTCTGAGAGAAATGACTGTGAAACTCCAATGGGGGGGGGGGAAGTTCTCGTACTGATTCACAATTCTTTCAGTACGTTCACTGAAATATGGCATTGTTTTTATTTTACATAATGCATTACTATAGCACTCCTTACTGCAGAAAGTGCTAACTGTCTTGGATTGGCATGCTCGTTGCTAGGATTCCACTCCCTGTTGGAGTAGGTGTTTGAAAAAGAATCTTTTGCAGCCCTTGTGAATACTGAACCTGAATTAATGCCTTGTACAAGTGTCATGGTCCACTCGGTGGACTCGTGATGGTTCGTTTGCTACGATCTCGAAAGTGCAAAATTAAGGTGACCAACACCAAAGGGTATAGCAGCAATCACACAGTAAAACTTTATTGTATTGCCTGTGAGGAGGCACGCGATAGTTAGAGATGGGTGAAAGAAAGGAGAAAAGTAAAGTTAAGTTTAGAGAGAGGAGAGAGAGAGAGGTTATAGCTACCACCGCTGATCTCATGACGTCCTAACGGTCCCGGGTCCAGCTGATGCTGCGTTGTCGATCGTCGTGGTCCTTGGTGGGGAAGCTTCAAGCTTCTGTTGTTCAGAAGTCATCTTTTATGCTTAGTAACACACCTTGCTCCACCTCTGCCTCAGGAGTCTCCACCCTTCTCAGAATACAATTATCATATCTCTGCCCTTCTTAAGGGAGGCTATCATGCAGGCGCGGGGTCAGTGTCCGAGGCGTGGTTAGTCTTGGAGGCGGGTAGCCTTCGACCAGGAGGTGTGTTTTGGTATTATAATTAAGCAAAGTTTGTCTAAAGTTCATGATTTCTTCATCGGTGTTATGCCAACAGTGGCAATTCATCCTTTTTTGACAGTAGCTATGCGGTTATCTCTAACGGTTCCAGCCAGGTACCTTCCAGGAACCTTGTACCGCACATTCCGTCCTTGGGACCAGCTGCTGCGCTCCGAACAGGCCATTGTCAGGTAATGTACTGTTCATGTTCCTGATGACGATGTTGAGACAATGCTGATTTTCTGGCCGACTCTTAGAACAAGTCAGAGCAATTTGAGGATTCTGTTTGGCAGGCAAATGCTTCTAGCAGTTGAATCATTAAGGAATTGTGCATGGAGGTTTTTGTTGCCTCCTGAGTCTTTTTCCTGACTAGTTTTGCACCAAGTTTGAGGGGCTGGAGTAAGCACCCCAAAGTCAAAATCTTAATCGCAATTCTGACAACATCTTGGTTCAACAGTTGCATTTTCAGGAATGAATATCCCTACAGAGAATGACTATGTCTGTGGGCTCTCAACATGCTGATGCTGTTAGAGGTGTGTGATTCCATTAGTTAGCCTGCATGCAAGTAGTAACACAGAACCAAAATAATCTGGCTTTCAGTGCAGCTGGTACGTGTGAGACAGCTGTTGCCTTTCTGTGGTTCTTCCTGCTATCAGTTTCTACCCTGTTACCCAGAATGAAGGGTGGTTTGGTTGTTGTTTTGGTTTTTTTTTTTCTTTTAAAAGCAAACTTATTTCTGAAACTAACCACAAAAATGATGTATCTTGGAAGGCACTGACATTGGCATCTGCTGGACTGACCCAGTTAATCCTTCCCTGATTTGGAACAGATGGTGATAGGCTCACTTCAGTCAGCAAAGCAGAATGGCTTTTGTGCTGGGTTCCATTTTTTGTCTCTATGTGCTGGGGCCTGTTTCCAGTTGCCTGCTCCGCTGTAGGTATTCCTGCATCAGCCCACTCATTGTTTTCACTCCTCCCTCTTTCTGGTTTGTATTTGCACTAATACCAGCTGATTTTTGTGGGTAGACTCAAATTCTGCAGCATTTCATCCACCTTCGTGTTAGGAGATCTCCATGTTATCCAGTTACTTGGCCTCCTTCGTATGGAAAAAAGTCTTTTCAGAATCCAAACTCAGGAAGAAATTACTATTTTTGTTCTCATTATTGTAAAGGAAGAAGATTAATAACAGGATTAGATTGTTTAGATTGCCAAGAAGAACATATAAGCAGATGTGGAAAACCATTTAATTAAACAAGAATTCTGTGGGAAGATTTATAGCAGGATCTTTTCTCTTCCCTTGTGTAGCTTGTTCCAAGGGACAGCTCTCTGACCACAGCAGGTTAAGTCCTTTGGGGAGCACAGACCTGATTTCCGCATTATTGCACAGGTGTAATTAATTAGTGAGTGGCTCCGCTTTTCCTAATGAAGGAGTGAATGTTTTTTTCAGTCTTTTGGCAGTGTTGGCATTATAGATGCATGAGTGAAAGCATTTGTTATTTTGGTTTAGAGTGCTGCCTCTACCTACAGCAAATCTACCACTTTTTCAAAGTCAATAGACTGGGATTTTTGGTCTCTGTGTTAAAGCTGGACCAGAGTTCCCTGAACAGTGGGGTGAATGAGTCAGTCTGTGTCCTTACCTTCACATCAGACGAGTGTCACATGTTGATATAGGTAATATCAGATTTTAGTAAAGCAAGATGGGCCTGTGAACATCCCGGAGGCTCTTCCAGTTTGTCTAGTGCTGACAGACTCAGGGCAGAAGGCAAAGCAAACGAAAGGGGCAGCTGCAACACTCTCTTGATCAGCGCCCAGAATGGTTTTCAAAGCCAACCACTCTAAAGAATCACTTTGTATTTCCCATCAGGACTCCTGCTCTGATTACATATCGCCCCAATAGGCAGATAAATGAGCTAAAAGCAACACTGTTTGGAAAGGGTAGAGGGAGGGGAAAGGGGAGAGGAGGAAAGCAGCTCACTCACTGTGCCGACTCAGGCAATGGGTTTCAGGCTGGCTGTGATAAATGAAAGGAGCTACCTGCACCCATGCCCCATGGTGGTCACTGAGGAGGCTTCTGGGACGACACTGCAAAATAAAAGCATATGGACAATTAAAGGGAACTTCAAGGTGCTGGGTAGCTTTTTAAACCTTGACATCAAAACGACTGATAGTAACTTGGAGTGGAGAAAGGAACTGAGATGTCATTGGGATGGTTAAAGCATTTCTCTTATCTGATCAAATCTGTCTACTGATATGTGCTTAGTAAAGGCTATTAAGATAAATTTGTGTTTAAGTTTGTTTTTTAAGATAGCATGACTTCAGATAATATCCTTCAAGCAATTTGGCATTGGTTTTTACTGAGACTGTGTTTTGAATTTGAAGACTGCTTAGGGGGATTACGTGGGAGACTTGTTACCATGTCAGGTTAAAGGTGCAGTTATTGCCTTGATGTGTTTTCCCTGTCTACTGAATAAGTTTTGGTGAGTTTTCTTTGGTAGGGGACGAAAAGCAGGTGAGTTTTGAGAATAAGAGAATGCAGCCCAAATGTTCCCATTCCCCCTTAGCTACAGAAAACCAGCTGCTTCTCATTTCAGAATCAAAACAAATAAGAGCATCTCTTTTGAGGGTGGGGCATGGGCTGCTCTAGGTCTCTAGGATTTATAGTGAAATTTGAAATTGTATTCGATATCTGCCATTCCAACTCAACTGTGTTTGCAAAACACTCAGTATTTGTAAAAAACACAGTATTGGTATCTAGGGGGATTTATGACAAGGATGAATGAAATTCACAGGAATTATTGAAAGTTTGTCAGTACAAATACTAGAAATTGGAGCTCTTAAGTTTTATGTGTTGGTTCAGATGATAAATGTGCATTTGGAGTGCTAAATGTAATGCTCTCCCCAGGAAAGCTAGAAGGAGCTTACAGCCCTCTAACAGAAATGAAGGGACAAGACGGGCTGCCACTGTTGGCAGATAAGGATGGCAGCGCCGAAGAGCTAGCTGCCTTCCCACTGGATCCAACCCAGCTCTACCTGTTGTCCGTAGGCACGAGTTTCAGTGGAGAAGCTGTAGCCTGCAAAGGCAGAGCCCTGCACCGCCTGGGTACCT